CCTGCATCCATATTATTACTATTTGTAGTAGTGATTACCTTGTAGTGCCCACAAGTACAGGAGGGGTTTCAGAGAAAGCTCAAGGAAGAAGGTCCTGTGGCCCAAAGAATTTACAGTTGAGGTGATGGCCATGACAGGTAAGTGAGGAAGGAGCACATCCTGGAGAAGGGAGAGGAATGACGTGGGTAAGGAAAGCTGTTTACAGGGCTCTTTCATTTGGATACTGCATTCTTAATGGCTACACAAAAGTAACATCTGTACATTTTACTTTTCATTACACATCAGATTTTTGATGCTCAGTTTAATTACTGGCAGGTTCACAAATTACAAACCATGTGATTGAAATGTCACCTCACTAGACTGCATTATAGCCCAACTGTAGCAGCAGCAGATACAGACTAACTATATGCTATACCCATATTGACCAGCTCAGAGTGCAATAGCAGTATAGCAGTAAACCAATGCCCAGAACTAAAATGTTCCTAAGATCGTGGTGCATTGTGCAATATTAGCCCGTGGCCCACAATCCTATGGCCTGATAGCCTGCAACACTTACATGTGTAAGTAGCTTTGCTCACATGAGTAGTCCTACAGAAGCCAAGTAGCCTACATTTTATAGTAGTAACATTTTAACCAAGATTTAATGCATGGGCTCTCAGATGCAAACTGCTTAGCAAATATTATATTGTTGGTGCCCTTTTACTGCTCTTTAATAAGGTGACCTGACATTTTTTTCCTCACCATTTTAAGGTGTGGTTTTTCTCTGCTTTATTTTTATGTTTAAACACATCAGCAGTACCTGTCTTGGCTTCTCTTTTCTTGCTGGAGCACTGGAGTTGCACAGGGATATCGCAATAGTCTGGAACCTTAAGTCTTCTCATTCCTCTCCCACTCAATGTAGGGCTCAGAAAGCGGTAACTCAGTTTCAGTATATTGTGATATCACTATTTCCCTGCAGTTCTTCCGCCCTCCAGCAGAAATAGGGAAGTCAAGACCTTATAGCTCTCCTGGAAAAAACAAGCAGGGGGAAAATGAGTCAATCATAAAGACAGTATAAACCTACCAGTGCCATGTGGACACTCTTATTCTGGTATAAGAGTGTCCACACGAGGATTTATATCAGTGTAACTATCCTTGTTTAATTCTAGCAGTGTAACTAGTACAATTTTCCTGTGTAGACAAACCCTAAGAGTGCCCACCAGTGGGAAAGCACTGATTTAAGTAATTTAATTTGAAAACTGATTTTAGTTAAACCAGACAACTTTTGTGCAGAACCAAGACTGTAAAAACTCTACCCCTATTTAGTCTAGAAATGCCCCCACTTACATCAGGCCTTTTTGATGCCACCACTTTTTTGATCCTTCAGTTCAAAATTTAAAATATGCAGAATGCAACAAAACCATGGAGAGAGCACCATAATCACAGAAGCTGCAACCTTTTTTCATGTGTGTGTAATGCTGACCCTCACATGGGTGTTGGCAGTGAGGATCAAACCTGGGAACTCTGGAGCTAAATGCATGAGCTGCTAGTGCATGAGCTAAGACACACCTCTCGGTTAGCCAAGGCTAGTAATTCTCAACCAATTAACCACTGTGAGTCACATATGCAGCTATGTGTGCCGCATCCACACAATAGATATATATACTACCTGTATGCCCTGAGGATGGCACATGGACCGAGCTGTGTGCTGATTGGGCTGTGGGCGGAGAACCACTGGCCGAGCCTGTAGCAGGCTCGTGAATCTCTAAGGGGCCTAGCCACCACCAGAGGGGGACAGAGTACCACTTCCAGCAAACAGGGGGTTACATGTGCAATTATTTCCTCTGCATTGTTAAGGCCGTGCAGCATTTTAAGAGAATCTTGCTGTACATATTTCAGCAAGATACCAGCTCCCTCATACAAATAGCTCCTGGAGCCTGAGAGCAATAGCTACCTGTCTGGGCAGGGAGAACACACACTATGATATTACAAAGGTTTTAATAAGGGTTTGCTAATATTGTAGCAGATGCTACTGACCACAGAAGGGGGGAGTCCATGTATAACTTTTTAAATGATTTTTCCTGTCTCAAACTAATCAGAGGTATTAGGTTCAATAAGGCATCTTAAATATATTGCAGGCTTTTTACCATAGCAAAAATATTTTAACTCTCCTTTGACTAAGAACAAAAATCAATGGAAATAATTTTGTTTGACCAACCCCCTGCCATCAGAAAATATCCCCGTCTTTCAGACGCCAAGTAGGATAATTACCAGCTTGGCAATAGGGAACTACAGGCCACAGTGCTAATTGCCAGGTAGACACCTTGGGCCTGCAGCTGCTTGGGTCTACCACATTTAAAGGGCCAGCCCCCAGAAAGGCACTTTAGGGAAGAGTTCCTACAGCAGGCCAGCCCTGCATTTGGGAGTAAGAAATGGTTGACAAAGACATGGCCTTGCTGGTGGGTGTCTCCCCACTGTATTTCAAGAGTATATTGGAAAATTACGTTGGTGACTAAAAGTTAGTGAAAATTATTTTGCAGTCTTACCTATAACAAATGCTATTTTCTCTCTCATATTTATACATATGTACTCATACATACAAACACAGCATGTATGTGTATTTGCTAGATAGAATACTGTAGTTAGCTGTGCCACACACAAACACTTCTAGGTTCTTATACTGTACCTATCATTGTAGTATCTGAGGACCTATGTACACACACTAGTTAATCTATTTATCTAGAGCCAGGTAATGCTACACAAGGAGTTGTGATTTTTATACATATATCACATTACAGTAATGTAAGCAAAGGAGAGAGTTTAAGTGCTTCAAAATACCATCTGCACGATTTCTTAGCCATTACATATTATAAGCAGAGCTGGTAGTGACCTATCGATAAAGTTGTCTGACACTTTCCCTTATAATACCATCTTTTCCACTTATAGCGTTAGCTATTTGAGTGGATTTTTTCCACGCTTCAGACTGATTTATTTTAATTTAATTTTATTTATTTGTTTTTAATTTGTTTCCAAGAATAAGACTAGGAAAAACACATTGTTTTGCCCATGTTAAAACACATCCTTATAACTGAGACACTCCTGTGCCCCCATGCTCGAGAGCAGGGATTAGGAATTTGGCGAGGGATTCACCCTGGTGTCAGATATTTGCCTAGGGATGGCATAAGGCATATCTTTCCAAGTATGTCAAGTTATAAGCTCCTGGAAAATCTCAGTTGACACATGCTCCATAGAGACTTTATTAGTGGTTGATAGCTAAATTCCCTGACAATTCCATCTGCACTGAGCATGCTACATGCAGGAGCTGCAGTGGTTGAACAAGACTTTCTCTGCACTTGCTGCTCCAGTAGTGTCAGGCCTAAGATCTGAGAACAGGGAAACTCTCTCTCCTCTGATTTCAATGTTCCCCCTGCTGGTTCAGTCAGCGTGGAGGATGAAGACTGAAATGAAGAGGGGACAAGAGCTGGACCTGCGGCTGAGATGGGGTGGAAAGAGTAGACTAAAACAAGGAATTGGTGGTGGTGGGAATGATACTGGGACCAGCTGGGCAAGGAGACTGTGGGAGCTAGGAATGGGAGGAGACTGAAATCATATGAGGAGCCAGGGGTAGGGGGAAATTGGGACTGGCTGGGCAAGGGGACATAGAGCCAGTGTGGGGGAAGACTGAGATTGCACAAAAAGTCAGGTGGGGATTAGAACAAGTTGCTTAGATGGGAAACTGGGAGATAGGGTTGGGGAAAGATTGGGACTTGGATGGGGGGTCTGGGAGCAGGGCTGGCTTTTTTGCTGCCCCAAACTCCGAAAGTAGAGCTGCCCAAGCAACAAAAAAAAAAAAAAAAAAAAAAAAAAGGGTGGCTGGAATGCCGCCCCTGGAATTGTGCTTGCTTTGCTGGTGCCTAGAGCTGGTCCTGTCTGGGGGATTGGAAAGTGGGACAAGAAGCATGGGGAGTAGAGACTCTGACAAGGAATTGAGAGACAGGGAGAGAAAGATCCAGCAAAAGGGGTTAGGTTTGGGAGGCACAGGGATAGAAGGGTCTATGCCCACTAGAGAATACTCCTCTGAAGAAACTGAAATGGAAGCCAAGAAAACCTGCTATTAGTATCAGTTGTTCCCTTAGCTCAAGTGACAGAGGTCTGTGCTGTGGATCTAAAGGTTACAACCCTGCTTATGAGTCATGAAGGGGTCAATATGAAGCCACAGCATGGCAACGTTGTTTTTTCTGTTTGCTTTTTTAAAAAGCTAGGAAATTACACATAAAAAACGACATTAAAGAACATAAGGTTGCAAAGTCAAACACTCAAAAGTTAGGAAAAGGCCAGAATTAAGGTCACCTGTGCAATGTTAATTCAGTCCCTTTGTGCATATAAATGATGAGAGTCTTAATTACATAAATACATACTTTTTTCCACTTGAGACCTTAAGGCTGAGTTTTTACAGCTAAAATTATTGTCAATGGGAGCTGCACTTTGAACATATAAAGTGCTATTTACATATGTTTCTTTGACGCTAGGAGTCTCAAATTGGGCATCTAACATTACCTTAATTTCTCTGCACGTCCCTTCCACATCTATAAAATGGGGATAGTGCCCTATTACCAGGGTCTCATTTTCACAACACCCACACAAAAGCCCATGAAGAAATTAATAATTCTGTATTCAAAGAAGTGTTTTAATAGTGTGCTGTAAATAAGGAGTGGGACCATATACATTGGACAAGGATAAAACAAACAAAAGAAGCTGCTTATGCAGTGTGAGCGCTGTTCAGTCTGTGCCCCGAATTCTGGCATTTCCTAACTTTTGAGTGCTTGGCTTTGCAACCCGAGTTTGTAATTTTATATACCATGTGCATTCATCTTAAATCTTCCAGCTTCTCGGACATATACATGAATATAAAGTAATTCTAATAATTTTGAGATTAAAAGAGGCATGTATGAAGGCTAGATTATTGTAATTGTATTGGATATTAAAAGGGAATTTTAACAACATTCAACTCCTTTTGCAGAATGACATGGGAACCAAATTTACAATGTACCTTAAAAACAGCTGACTTTGAACTCTACAGACATGAGGAAGATCAGGCTGAGAAGGTCGGTTTTGTGCCCAGGAAAGTAGATTTTGGGGATATTCCAGTTCTTTGTTCAATATGTCAACAAACAATATACCCACATCAACTTTTTTATCATAAAAAAGAGCACAAAGCCCTAGCTCGACTGGGTTATCATCGTCCATGGCTTGAAACAGACACCAACAAACTTTTACTTCAGAGAAAGCAATTAATTTCAAGACTGATCAAGTTGTCTAAATACACTGAAAGAGAGAAACAGAAGATTGATTGTTCACTAGAGCTACTTAAGAATAAATCAAAGGGCACCCCATATTTTAATGTTGATAATATTCTTGACAGTTCTGGATACCTCAAGAAAGTAAGCAATTCTCTAATAAAAGCATTAGCAATTTGCCAAGACAAAAATTCAACATGGCGAGGAGATATGGAAGACACATTCATTGTGCTAGATAATTATGGAAATAGGTCAGATACGTGTTTTTTGGGCTTATTTGATGGATATCATGGTGTGTTTGCTGCTGAGACAGTTTCAGCAGAGTTTCCACTTTTATTTCTTGACCAGCTGTCTCAGACTGATTCCTCTTACAAAGTCAGTGGAAAAGAGGAACAGATCCTAGATTCTTTTGTCACAGTAATCAAGGGAAATTACAGGGATCAGGAAAAGGTTTTTTCTGGTAAAACAGATAGTGATAAGACAACCAAGCCAAGCATTTATGAATGGATTCACAAAGCATATGCTAAGTCCTTTTGGAGAATGGACAGACTTTTACGACTTGGAAGGAATGAGGTTTCCAAAGTTCGCTGGAGTAGCTGCACAGCTGTTACCTGTTTAGTGGAAAGGATCAGTGATGAAAAGGAAAAGAGCATCAAGGAACAAGGGGAGACAATGCTGCTTGAAAACAACAGCAATAACTCAGCAAAGCCATCCGAAAGCAGTACCGGGATACTGCATATTGCTAACATTGGTATGTAAGTTATTGACTTATGGAATTGTTGTTTGTTGTTTTTTGGGCTGGGGGTTGGGCATTTTTTTGGGGGTGCTTTCCTCCCATCCCCAATTACAATGGGAAAAAAAAATCTAAGGCAAGGTTAGTGGTAAGAGGTTTTATTTGACATTCTGGAGGGTACATGACAAAACCCTGTTCAATGGATGCTAATGTCAGACAATAAGTATCAAGCTTATTCTATAAGACAGTTCATCCATATATCTGATAGTATGTTTGGCTTACAGCTGTAAATTAAGTGAACATTTAGGGTCACTGGTATAATTACAAGACTTTGAGGGATGCAGGAAAAGTGACCGGCATAAAAAAGTGGAACAAACAGTTGAGAGGAAAACTGAAGGTTTAGTGTGGGACATGCTGTCATTTTAAGGCACAAAATCAGAAGTCTTCCCTTTCCCCAGGCCTTATTCATTTTAACTTTGGTGAAAACTTAAGCCAAACGTGGGTCAAACTTAAGTAGACACACATATGCAATGTCTACACTAGGGAATTTTACCCCGCTCCCACCACAACAAAACACTGGCATTAGTAGCAGCTCAGGTGCTTGGGTTTAGACAAGGGTCTGGCTGCTTCTGCTGTTTATAGTACTGGGTCAATGAAGCCAACCAAGAGTAATTGCCTCCTCTTTTATTCTGTTGTTACATGGGGAGGAGAGCTACTGCTACCAATCTCTTGAAATGTAATGTTCAGGGGTAATTTACGCAGATTCTTTTCCCCTTTGCGAGTGTTTTAGGTGGAAGAATCTTGCTTTTACCTGGCCAGAGCTGCAATAGCCACAAGTACGTCAACTGACAATTACAATAGGGAATATTACCAATAAATTCTCACCACTGCTATCCACAGTTCAGATGCACAGCGGTAGCCTTAGTCTAGACAAGGCGCTGTTAGCTTTCACTAGTTATATCTCTGTTCATTAAATCTCCCTGGGGAATTTTTGGGGTAAAATTCACTAGTGTATACAAGGTCCTTGGGGGATTTGAAGCAAAGTATTCAACTGCTTTGCAGATGTGTCACAGGTCTCAAAACAGAACAAAAAGCAGGATCATTCCCAGTCTAAACCAGATTCTACAGTGAGAAGACAGACCCAGGATAAATAGAAACAAAAGGGTATCTTTTGGCATGGAAATCATCTCTGATCATTAAATTGAGACTTTGTAGCACTAGTGCTTTAAAATTAAGAACATTTAAAGACATCACTCTCCATTGCACCAAACAAGTATCTGACAATGGCCAGTTAGACCAGCTTGTACAATTACGAGGAGCATTTTATGTGCTCCTATCCCACTAGTACTTGGAAACCAGCTATGAGATTAAGAATTGCACTTAATCTGGGAGAAATGGGAACTCCATTCAGCCCGATTTGTTTGGGTCATTGGTTACTGTTAGCCAGGAAAATGTTGGAACCCATCTGTCACTTTATGTAGTAGGGGAAAGCATGTATAGTTCAATGGGATGGTAACATGGTCCAAATGCAGCAATTTTGGGATGATTCCTCAGCCCCCTCATATCTAAAATGCTCTGCCCTATGTCCCACTCCCAACCCAAGCTTCACCTTAGGCTCTATTAACCACACGGTCCAGGTCAAACATAGGTAATGAAACAGGGCTTGGAGTCATTTTGAGGTACTGTGGCCCAATCCTTTCAAAAGAATTAAAAAAAAAAAAAAAGACCACAATCCATCATTTGATATTTTAGTCAATTAAATTGAATAAACATGAAGTCTAACTACCCAATGAACCATTTGTTTTAAATTCATTAGATTCATACACCATTAAAATGAAGCTTGATTCCCCTCTCCCCCATGCCAAGGGAGAGCTGGTGCATCATCTTACAAGTGTTGAGTGTTAGGTTCAATTTTAGAGTAGCAGACAAGAAAATTTGGTAACTTTCAATTTAGCCTTAAGAGACAAGACAGTTGTTTCACAAAACCACCATGTAATAATTCTCAGAAGCAACCCTTTTCTGCAATAAAGAGATATTGTGGGTCTGGACTGTGAGATTAGCAAAAATCACGCTAGAACTCACTAAATTTTAATATAATGTAGCATCTCTGCATTATATAATGATCTGCCACCAGAAGCTTATGATACTCATGTCCCCATAAGTAAGGGGCAGTCTAATATAATCAGCAAGAACTCCACTGGTTACAGGAAAGGTGTTATTAGCATAAAACCCACCCATGCAAACCACTGGGGTAGAGAATAGGGGAGGAAGTATCCAATTAAGGGAACTTCATGTAACATATCACACCTAGAAATCACAATTAACAAATCATGTGCTTCTAGTGTGCCTGGGCAAACAGAACACTGAGCTCATACTGTCACCATTTACATATATTTGGTCCATGCATACATTTGCAGTCACCCAGTAATTGCTGAGGTCAGCACACTAAGGCTTTATAGGAGTTTTTTAGAAATTGTGTATGCACTGTTTCTTGATATATGAAAGGGGAACTGGAGTTTCTGGAGCATATGGTGAGCAACTGAAATGGGATGCCTGCAGATTTGTGGAGTAGGGAGGGAGAATATTGGAGATGTCAGGGTACCATCTAAACCTTTTCCATTTCCCCTACATTAATCACTCACCCAGCTCTTGGGGACATCTGTAGACTCCATGACTTAATTCTTGGTTTGGCAAACTTCCTTTGGTTCATCAGAGTGGGACTCAACTGCCTTCACTGGACTTGTATAAGGGTAACTGATTTGAATTTAGCAATTTTGTTGATGCAAAGAATAGAATCCAGCTCACTACTGGCTCTACAATGCTAACAAGAAAAAAAGTTAACAGTAAAAAAAAAAAAGTTATGTCCCATAAGCAAGAACGTAGGTCTCCAAATCCACAAATGGACCACTGTTGTATAAGATGCCTTTTTACATTTTTCAGAGTAGAATGGTCTCCGACACTGCCAGAGGACACACAAGACACCAAGAATATGGTTGAACTGGGCTGCAGTTTTATAAATTTAATACATCTGGAAAACTATCCGGAAATAACTCTGACAATGCAAGTTCAACTTCTTTCCATAATTTGTACCATCTGGGAAAGAGCTACTCCAAAACCTTCAACCTGATCCTAGCATTGTTGCTGGAACCCTTCTCTCCCCTTACGGGTGGGTTGAGGATGACCGTAGGACATTAGGAGCTCCAAACAATTTATCCATTCCCTTGTTTAGGGGGATGTGCTCCCCTAATCCTGCTTCCAATTCTGGTCTATAATTGGAAGCAGGACCAAATACCTGCACTAGATACCCAACAAGTTGTAACTAGATAAATACCTCCCAGCCTCACCTATCCTAACTTCTGGGTCTTCCTAGGCTGCAGCAGGAAAGGTGACAAAACTTAGCCTGCCGGGGCCAATCTAGCAACAGGGGAAAAATTCCTTCTGAGGCCCAGAAACCTGATCTTACTCTATCTCAAAATAAGAGGGAAGGAACCATTGCTGCCAGATGCAGTATGCCATTCCAGGCAGGGGAAAGAACTGAAGACCCACTGCCCTCTGGCTGTGCCACACAGTCAGTGATCTTCCACTACATTCTTCAATTCAGGAAATCCATTATGGAGTCCCTCTTCCTTAAACCCACTAAGAGGTGAGATGCCATTCTTAGAAGGACCTAAGCATTTTCTTTCCCCTGCTGGATCAAAGGTTCTCCACCTCAGGCTGCAGAGGAGCATAGTACTGTTAATCCTCAGAATAAATTAGTGCTATTGTCAAATTAGTTGATATAGCGCGGAATTAGTCAATTTAATGGCCTTTCATATGAGGTTACAACAACTCATCATACAACTTCAGAGAAAATTTAAGATACCTTATTCCTGAGAACAACAACAACAAGCTGGCATGTCCTAATTTGCACTTTAACATGCGCACCTTGTATTGAGACTTACGCATTTTCCATTTCAAAGATCATACCACCACAAGTCTTTTGGATCTTGCAAAAGCATGTACTTTTTAAAAAAAGCAATTAACTGTAATTGAGGTGCTACTCTGTGTACAGCATGGTGACAGGAAAATTAAGCAGAATATTTTAATGTAAGTGGCAATACATAATATGCATAATCAGTTATAGCTATCCCATTGATTAGATTACAACCATCACTGCAGTATTTGATCATGGTATAAATTACAAAGGAACACCAAGTCACAAAAATTTAATTTAAGTTTCTCTTCCTTACAAGAGACATAAGTACTAAAAAAAACTACAGACTACACTGTGAAAGACTAACAAGCACATTCTGACTGGAACCAGGAGAAATGCTAAGCTGTTTATTTTCTTTCCTGTACCTTAAAATTTCTTTCTGGAACTATACAAGACTTTTAAAATGTATACATTTTAAATAGCTATTTAAGAAAGGTATTTAAGCCTTTAGGCCAACACTGTCTGCAAGCACTGAACTATGTTTCAAATTCATTATCAGCTGCTGGAATTTACACAAAATTACATTCTTAGCCTGATATTTTGAATTTCAATTACAACCCATCAAAAGTTTAGAAATACAATGCTACAGTGACATTTTAGAAAGTACAAATACTCCTTCAATCAGCAAAGATTTGAGAGACCAGTGACAAGCAGAACAGCATAAGGATGGATGTCAGCATGCAAATGTGTCCCTTTCACTTAGCTTTTGACAATACAAGATTTCACCTGTCAAAATGGCTCATTACTGTGAATAGTGTTTAGTAAAAAAAAATTCAGTTGCACTATGAAATGCAAAATGTACTTATTTTATTTTAGGTAATACACATGCAGTCTTATGCAAAAATGGAAAAAGCTACTGCCTTACCAAAGAACACAGTACTTCAAATTCAAAGGAAAGAGACCGTATACTTCAGAATGGTGGAAACATCAGCACGAATGAACCAAAAGGACTAGTTGAAGGGCTCATCAGAGCTACTCGTGGCCTTGGACATCATGGAGATCCAAAGTTGAAAAAATATGTTATTCCTGTACCACATACCATATCTGTCCCTATAGACGATTCATGTCAATTCCTTATTTTAGCCTCTAATGGGCTTTGGGAAGTTCTGGATAAAAATGAAGTGGTTATATTAACTCTAAGGATGTTCACCTCTTATTTGGAAATGTATGCCCAGCGAGAAGAGATTTCTATGCACAAATATCAGTATTCAATAGTTCCCTATGAAGACTATTTATGTAGTTCAATGGATATTAATGACTTAGAAGACAGAATCCAATTATGGTATTTTAATAAAGAAGCTTTCCTTCAGAATCAATGTGAAAGCAGTCTGAAAGAAAATAATAAAAAATCATGTTCATGTAGCAGAAGAGATTCTCAAAATGAAAACAAGATGCAGCCAGGCTCTAACAAAGAGAGTTCTGAAGAAGTGCAGCAGTTAGACAATCACATAAAACAAGCTGATACCAAAGCATGTCTGTCTAATAACCATGGAACACGTTCACAACACACAGAGATAATTCAGTCAGCCTCTGGCAGTCAAGAAGGTTCTAAAGAATTGAAACAGTTTGACGATGAAACAAAAGCATATCTGTCTAATAATCGTGGATCACATTCACAAATTGCCAGCAAAGGAGAAATAAATTTGGCAACATTCTATGACAGTGCAGCAAATTACATTAGTAAACAACTGGTAAAAACTGCATTAGCAGCAGGTTCTCGAGATAATATTACTATTTTGGTTGCACTTCTAAATGGATGTGACAAGATACCTAATTATATTCAAAATGTGTAATGTACTAGAGTACCAGAGTGTGTACAATATAACCTAGATTGAGGCAAGTCAAGTTACATGCGTCTTAAAGTGTCATCCTCACCTGGTCAACCCATTTTTGGGCAAAAGTCACACGTCTTTGTAACTGTGTGAAAGCACTAACTGCTAAAATGCAATAAAGGTTTCTTGTTGAATTCATGGTAAGAACAGACACTAATCACAATGTTTTCCTGTTTTATAACCACTTTATTCAAACCTGAGCACCTCAATATAAAACTAAACACTGGTGAACTGTCATTTTCCTTGCTAAGCCCAAATTACTGCAAATTTACAATCTGCACAAGTTTCTGCGAGCAGTTCAACATTTAAATAGATTAAATCGTCTTCTGACACACTTGGTAAATTTCATATAATGAAAATAAAGAATTAGTGCAATAGACTGGACAGATCAAAATAAAATGGACTTTGGAAAACAAGGTTGCAGAGTTCATTACTGACAGACAGCAGTACTTATGTTACAGGTACAGGAGCATCATTTATTACTGTTCTAGCCATAAAGGAAGAACTTAGAACCCCGTTAGATTAGGGGAAAAGAAAAGTTAGCTTTAAGTAACTGTACATTTTGTATACCTTTAAGCAACTCTTAAATATTACAGAAAGTATTAAACAAATGTAGACTACAATGCAGTACCCTATTTACAGTACATGAATATCCAAATTTAAAATCAAGTTGAATGTACATAATTATTAGTGCACTGACTATTTTTTTCCTTTGGGGAAAAACATAAGAAACTGTGTAATGGCCAGCAATGATCAAAAACAACAACAAAAAATCACAGACACCAAGTTTGTCTTTGTTTTACTTGGAGAGCTCTTATGGTTTGTGAAGAAAAATCCTGTAAAGTTGAATTCATTGGTTTGTGCCTTTATAAACTGATAAATATGGAGTTAAACTTGATTTTTAATCACTATTTTCTTAAACCACTGGGCTAATTTACATACAGTGTAACAACTAAAATCCATTTTTCTGCAAGCATAGGATTCTTAAAAATGCTGCAAGTATTGTTTGCAGTTAAATTATGAACATGTGGAATGCATATTTAAATGATAGATACTTGCAGAAACAACTGGTTGCATGAATACTGCAAATAAGCTTAAAGTATCGGTAGACCCTGTTTCTAGAAAAAAAATTTTTTTAAAGCACAAATTGAAATGTTTGAAGAGTCCCAATTCTATCAATTACAACAGTAACCAATACCTGGATATAGAGGACTAGCTGGTTAGGTCAATAAATGTAATTCTTCTATATCCCTAATGGCAGGTGATTTTTAAAACCTTTCAACTGAAGCAAGTTTATTCAGTTTCCACTTCCCCTCTATTGCTGAAATATTACAGCCAGTGATACATGCATGTTAAAAATTAAGATTAAAAACAAAATAATTCTGTATTAGAAACTCGACTATGTCATTAGTCTCTTCTGTTTTGGAAGCTGCATTGGACCAGATTAAATACTCCAATTCCATTGTTATTAACAGTTAGGAAGCAGAAGAATATTCAAGACAGTTTAAAGCAACTGAAGGTTTAGTTACTACAACACTGAGCCTTGGGTGGTTGTGTGGGTTCAGTAAGGTCTACTCCTCTTCCTCTGGCAGAGTTGGCTCCTGCATTCTGTGGTTCACTCTTTGGCAACTTTTTAGCTATAAGAGTAACAAGAAAAATGAGCAAAAATTAGTGTCAAGATTGTACTAAGTTTTAAATATCTATTGAGTCCAAGAAAGCTATTTGAATATTTCCTTTTAAGATATTTAGCAACAAAATAGTAACTCCACAATCTGTCTGCTTTAGGCTTTCAGAGTATGTCATTCAAAAAATGTACAATTAAGACCATTTGTTATTACCATCTTAGAATCCGTAGCTTCCTGAATAGCTGACACAAAAAACCCACACCCTTGGAAGGAGAGAAAAATATAGCCAGAATTGCCTAGCAACGGAAGTTAACAATTTAGGCACTAATCCTGCAACTTGTTCATGCAGGTGGGCTCCCACGGAATGTCTTCCATATGGGTCCACCTATGAGGAACAAGTTATAAGATCACGGCCTTAGGTTACAGCAGCACTCAGCATGCTAGGTGTTTCTAAAACACACACTGCTCTGAAGAGCTAACAGTTGGAAAAAACAATAGAGAAAGTGGAAAGGAATACTACATACATGCAGAAAATGGTCACAGAACTAGCACATGTCCCTTTCCTCCCCCTCATAAACTCCCTAATTGCTTCTCTATTTAGCTAGGATGTCTTTTTGTGTTGTACATATAAATGATCAGTTCGTCCTAGTTATTCATCAGTCCCTGTGCTGCATACTCCCTATAGCTCTAATTAACGGATCGTTCCCTTGCCTTCCTGCAGCCCACCTGCCTTCTGTAACCCTAGACTAAAGCAGGCGAAAAATGCAGCCAGTCAGAACTTGATGACATTTCTTTATCCTGCTATGCATTAGCTCCTGTCACTTTTCTGCTAGAGTGGAGTCAGTTGTTGCTATGGAGGAGTGGAATGGGAAGGACATTCATAAGGCTGCCCTGGCCCTTGCTGTGGGAAGCCCCTGCCTGACCCATACTGCCCAAAGTACTAAGTTTTCTCTGCATGTCCAGACTCTGAAGCAAGGGTACTACAGGTGGTTAGCAGAAAAGCAAGAGACTGAATTTCTCCAAAAGGATTCAAACATGCAGTATGAATGGGAAATATGGAAAAACAAAAAACAAAACAAACAAACAAAAAAATTGTCCACACAGAACCAGCTCCTTCCGCAGCACCTTAATTTGTGATAGCATGGTCCATATAAGCTTTCTAGGTTGCCCTTTTAGAGAACTTTTTTCCCAGCATTTCTGGAAACGTCCATTTAAATTTAGCAGTCAAGTAGCAACAGGTCTAAAAAAGCCATTTTGCAAATGCCTGCTACATGCCACATCTCCCTCTTCTGTCTGGCAAGTATTCTTAACTCCTGTTATTTTGCTTTTCCATTTTCTCATTCTTGAAAGTGTATGAATTAAGCTCACAAAGACCCTACAGTGCCAGGTACTATGGAAAACTGTACACAAATTGTGTCAAATAAAGTTTAGGTACTTCACTAAAATACTCAGGGGGTACAATAAAGATTAACGTACCATTTAAATAAACAAAAAATAAATAAAAATCACATCTCTAGGCCTAATTAAAAGGAACAGCAGAAACGCAGTGTATGAGGATTCAAGGGTGGCCCATTAAATGTTAATTTGGTTTTAAATTTAAATAGGGACATAGAACTACTGCTTGGCTTTTTTTTTTTTAAATCAAAATCAAAATCCAGGACTCCCTCAAATATTTATCATAAAGGTACAGACTTTTTCCTCCCCCCAAATATCTGTTAGACATTTAAACACTCTGAACTGAAGCACATTAAGTGATCTTTTAATATCACTATAGTATATTTACTAAAAGTTTTACTTATTTTTATACCTGGATAGAAGTGTTTATTAGATCACAAATGTACCCTTGTTTAATACAAACAAAGATAGTAGCACAATATATGAAACATTTGATTTTAAGAAATTACAATGCTACTATTTATTTTACATGATGAATTGTTATACCGCTTAGCCAAATAGACTATATGGACCTATCATGGTGAAAATGCAACACTTACGATCTATGGGGCCATTTGCTACTTTTTGTTTGAGTGTTACACCTATTGCTGTGATTATCTCTAGATTGCTGAACGAGCCATTTTGCACATCTTGAAGACATGCTTGCTTTGCTTCCCACTTCAATAGATCTCACGAATAATGATAGTTTTATTTCCATGGATGAAATTCACAACACTATTTTCATTTTAGAGTTTTCAGCAGTTTGAAAGAGTTTCATAAACCAAATATGGTAAGTCCCCTTATCTCTTGGACATTTTCCCTTTTTTCACAAAATGAAACTTAAAGTATGACCACAGGACGTGGGATCTGTATACTTTTGGGCTAAACAACTACCAGAAGACCTTTAATAAATCTGTATTCTGTTTATAATCTGTAATTATTTCATTTTAAAGAGACCACAAGGTCAAAGTAGACTTACAGTCAAAATCATACTTAAGGGATAAAAATTATAAATAAGGCCCTACTTCATTTGTGTTACTGTGAAAATTGCAGATCCTGCAATATAAGGCTTCCATTGCAATTCTGATTTTAATGAGCTTACTTTTCACCGTCCACAATTTTACATATTTAGTATGCAATTAGTACTGCACTAACATTCAATGCCTGTAAAATGTAAAAGGCTAAAAAGTGACTGGACTATTTCTACAGCAGTTGTGTAGAGACTTTTAGTCTTCTAAATTTTATATTGTACCAGTCATTTAAAAAAAATGAATGTACATAGTTGCAGCAAAATGTCTGGTTATCAAAAAATTTAGCAAGCGTAACAGAATACCCGAGTGTTTATACTGTGCCAACAAATTTTTATTAAACAAATAGGCCTACTCTGGCTTTTCCAAATTACATCTTTTAATAAAGGTCCATTATTACTTCTGTGTGACTTTCCATATCTTGTCTATAACTCAGATGCAATTAATTGAAGATCATCCCATGATTCAAGGAGGGACTTAATTATAAAGGTTCTTTGGTTATTAATGCCATAGATTTTAAAAATAAAATCAAATAAAGATGTTCTTAATGCATTTTGTTCAACATGGACAGAGAAACTACACTAGACATGCATTTGTTTATATTTAGCATCACTTTCAGGTTGCTATACTTGGGGTACCAACACCATGCAGGCATATTTAGAGCAGTGTTTCCCACATGCACCAGGGGCTTTTCTTGCAGCCACAGCTCTGGGTGATGAGGAGGAGGGGCGGGGGGAGAGGGGGGCGTAAAGCAGTGGCCCTTCCCCAGGGGCCACCATGAGTGGTTGGGCCCTGACCCCCTCTGGAGAGAGACAAGCTGGAGAAGCAGGCAGCCAGTGAGTTCCCTACCTTCCCAGGAGCAGTGGGGTCGGGCATCAGCCCTCGGGTGGCAGGCTCCAGCCAGGGGGCTTTGGTTCTGCTCCTGGGCCCTGTCCCTCAGGGTGTTGGGCTTTGGGCTCCATTCCCTGGCTGCATGGTGACGGGGTCTGGCCCCAAGCTCACCCCTCCCATTACCTCTGCTACCTCCCCCAGTGCCCCATCGCCCCTGTACCCACCTCCCCATTCAGGGCTTAGTTTGTCCCCGGGCTGGCTGGGGCTGAGTAAGTCTGTGTGAAAAGTGATATTTGTGTGTTTGTTAATATCACTTTTCACGGCACACTTAGTAGCTAGCAAGTCTTAAAAAAAATAAAATAAAATAAAAAAAATACACCACCCCCAAAAAGCAAAAGGAACAATAAGAAAAAAGACAAGAACGTTCAAAGCACCTTATTTGTGTTACTATTCTGTTTAGGTCCCATAAAGAATAGAGACAACTGCACACTGTTTTTATTATTGAGTCTGCAAAACCAAAAACCCTACATAGATACACGTCCAAATCACTGTAATCTATCCGTGCATGTTTATTTTTGTTTCCCTAAAGTTAACTAAGTATTTTAGGAAAAATTGTCAGAGCAGCCACCAGCCAGAGCTAGTAGCTGCACTTTGAGGCCACCAAAAAATGTGTGGAGAGAACTTCTGATTTAGAGTCTCCGTGAAAAAAGTGTTCACAAAATTTAAGCGTTCTACACATTTCAACTCAATATTTATAAAAACGTTGCTCCCCAGGCGCCTTTAAAATAATTTTTCAATCTCAATTTTAATCATTATTTCTCTTTGGTAAAGCCTACAAAGTTCTAGGCTCTACATAAACACAGAACACATCACAACTCTGGACCCAAAGAGCTTAGAATCGTATAGAGTGTATCCTTTTCACTTGCACACCTTTAGATTGTTTTAAAAGCAGAATTCCAAGCCTTTCCTTAAAAGCAAAAATTTTGCAAGTCAAACATTTCCTACTTATCTGCATCACAAGATAAATATATTTTGATATATAGTGACGTGCATGTCTTTGCTCATTCTGTTAGAAGCTCAGACAAAATGGACCATTGACCCTGAACAACTACATTGTGATAGCAAGTTCAGTTTGCTACACAGAAACCTTGGGTTCAGAAGTGATGCAAGGATTCTTGTTCTCTGACAGTATTAGGGGATATGCTTGGTGCATGGGATGAGGCTGGAGCCAGACTGTTCTTTAAGTGATTGATGTTTAGAACATTAAAAAGGACTTCAGAAAAGATGCTAGAGAAGCAGACTGCCACAGAAAGGGAAATCCAATTAACAAGGAGGGAAAAGTTGGGTAATATTCCACTCAGAGGCTAGGATAGAATGAACTTCAGAGAAGGACTACACACAAACCAGTTGCCTGAAAACGTAGCTTCTATTTAAAAATACTTACCAATAGCCATGAATATTTCATTTACATTCATTGATGTTTTAGCCGATGTCTCCATAAACAATAAACTGTTGTCATCTGCGTAAGACTGCGCTTCCTATAAGTTACATATTATAAGCAGATTTTAGTTTGTTTTTAATTATGCAACTTAAGTACTAAATCCCTTGGTTAGTAGTGATAAAATACATAGCACGTAATCTGTATGAAAGAATGCTCAATGAAACTTGATCAGCCTGATGTTCTAGGTGTTACATAGCATCTGTAATAAAAGTCAACATAGGTCTCCTACAATTATTAAAAAAACATACAGAATTCAAATCTTAGGAAATTCCAAAGACTTTTTGGTTGGCCTAAAATATCCATGAACAAAAGCCTAAACAAATAAAAAAATATTAAAATAAAGTCCTTGAACTGAAACTCTGGCTCTGACAGTAAGGAGGAACAAGTTCCAAAAGGTGGGGCCTGCAACTAACATTGACCTCCAACAGCTAAGTTTCAGCTGAAAGCTGAGTTATCCTAGTAGCCCACGTGCGTTTCAACAGTACGCAGGGAAAGAGGCAATTTCTGGAGTTCCTCTGAATCTGCCTGCCTTTGAGGACAGATCATCAAAACAAAATTTATCACTCAGAAAGAGTTAACTATTATACACAAACATGACAGGACAACAGTGTTCAATATCACTTTTTAATTTTTGTTAGCCTGAATTCCAAAATGTGAATTCTACCTTTTTTTTATTCTAAAAGTCTCTCCTTTAGTGCCACCACCTACAGCACAGTATTAGAGCCCCCACCCTCTAATTGGGAACTCAAATCTCCCTTTAAATCACATATATTTTCTTCATTCCACATGTGGAACTCCCTTTTAACTCAACAGAAGTTCTGCACAAAGACAGGTGAGAATATAATTGTGAAGAGCAAGCTACATCACTCTAAGGTTGTCTACACTACAGCTTATGTCAACATAATTTATGTAGCTCAAGGGTGTAAATAAACCACCCCCGAGCGACATAAGCACCGGTGTGGACAGTGCTATGGCAGCAGGTGGCCTTCTTCTCGTGTGGGCTGGAGTAGTTAAGCCAGTGGTTTAGCCCAGAGGTCTCACACACGCGGCCTGCGGAGTTATTTTCTGCAGCCCCCCCAGCTTTTATCTAGAGCGGCTCCGGCCTGGCCCAGCGCGCACCAGGGGCAGGGCAGGCTCCCCGCTTGCCTGCCCTGCCGCCGTGCCGCTCCGAGAAGCGACCAGGACCTCAGGCGGGGGGAGGAGAGGGAGACACAGGGGTCTGTATGTTGCCCTGGCCACGCCTCCAGGTACCTCCCCCGAAGCTCCCCATTGTACAAAAAGTATTACTAAATACTTTACAAAGTTATTCTAACACAATTAAACAGTTAATAATTGACAAATGTCAAGAAACAGAGTGAGAAATCAGAGAAGGTAAAAATGAATTTGTTGAATTCTGGACAGCAGATACTTTAAAAGCCACTGAGAAAGGAATCAAAAATAGTCAACATATGGAGATTAAGACATGGGAAAGGAACTCAGATGGAACTAAGGTACTGGTATACACAGCAATGTTAAGATAAGACAAAACATATCTACAGGCAAAGATGATGATAGAGAAAAAGGAAAGTGCATGACCAAAGATGATCCTAAGATTACAGAATATGCAAACATATGCAAACAAACATAGAAGTCTGAGTTCTGTTGAGTCATAAGCAACTCTACAATCATAGTTTGCCACTGATTGATTTGGTTTTATTAAGGTACTTTTTATTAAGTGAGCCACCAAAAGCCTCTGGGCATAGGTACATCAGTTTAAAAAAAAACCCACAAGAAGAGAGTCAAAAAGTCAGCTAAAACTTAACTCACTCAACTTACATTGCTTTGACCAGGCCATAAAGTAGCCAGATCAGCTGTGCATCATACCCTAAAGTCAACAAGTGAATTCCAAACCTCTCACTGAGAGCAGCCTGTGTTCAGAACCACACCTACCCCTAAGATTAACTAACTATTGTTAGTGAAGTCATCCCCAATAACTGTTAGGGAGGCATACAGAAAAAGGCAGTTTCTCAGAATACAAATTCAATTTACTGATAGATCTGACATATCTGGGGGTCGGGTGGGGAGGGGAGTTACTGTACCTCTAAGTAAAAATTTAATTAGAAAAGCTCTTTTTGGACAGCTGTCACTTCGTATCACATTTATACCCCTCCCCCCCAAAAAAAATTCTCACTAGATCATAATATTTTCAGATATACTATAAATTCATGTTTGCAATTATCAACAGAATTCTATTACAGGTGCAATCCTACAATGAAGGATTAATCATTAGAAAATAGTATGATCCCTTCTGAGAAGGCTATTTATATTACAGACTAGCATTCCAACAAAAACACACAGTTTCTTATGAATAAAAAATATGTATGACATACCTGGAAATCCACAGCTCTTTTATTAGCTAGATCAGCTTTGTTTCCTGCTAAAGCTATTACAATATTAGGACTTGCTTGCCGCTGAAGTTCTTTGACCCAATTTTTTGCTCTTGCAAAGGACTCCTGTTAATGATTTAAAAGAAACTCAGTTCTATTGTCCTTTTATCCCTATTACCCAAATTTATCTTATCTGCCCTGTGAGCAAGAAACCTATCAGTGTATTCATTCTCCAAAGTTACATTCCAGCTGGCTGACTGGGCCTTATTAATAAAACCTCCCTTCTTTAATTCCCGAAGGTGAATAGTTGGGACCACATTACTGACAAATTAAGAGCCCCTTTGTCAATTATGTTAAATGGATGAAAAAGTGATAAGAATGACTCTCTTGGATAGAGTGAGAACAGAGCAAGCACTGGAAGAGAAAGAGTGACAATTTTAAACTATTGTCTTCCCTGAAAGTGCTGAAAGGGTCTCAAGCCACTCAACCCACAACAGTGGGCCAAGTCCTGAAGTCCTTACCCATTTTCTCCGAGTCTCCGTCAGGAAAAATCCCACTGATAATGGGTAGTTTGCCTAAGGACTGGATAAAAACTGAGTGAGAACCTCAGGATTAGGCCTTACATTTCTTTTTGCAAATTTTTCAGTTATATACTTAGATGTCACTTGCAGCTATAAATAAGTCATTACATTTATGTTTTCCAATGTGCTCTCTCTGTTGGAAAGTGAGCCAAGGCCATTAGGCCAAAAGCTTCTGAATAAATAGAATAAATAGAAATGGGAAAGAATAAAAAAAATGTTAAACCCGAAGTTTTTTTAAAGTTGATTTTTTTTTTAAGTTAAGTATCTCCAAAAGAGTACTCTTCTACATTAGCTTCTTATATCCTTTCAGTAGCTAGTGATTTTCACAGTGAAAGGATATATTGCATAAAAACTTGAAAACCTCTTTTAAAGAATTTTTAAGCTAATGAAAATGTAAAAATTAGGAGCCATACTCCAATGGTAAAAGCCAAATCCAAGAAATGAAGCAGCAGGCAATACATTTCACTTTGGTGATGTGAAGTACTTTGCCTCTGGCCTCACACTGCAGAAACAGGCACCAATAGTCTACTAATGTATTGTGGATTTGTTATATTAGTACATATTATATAGTCCAACCTATTGTGATGGGATATACTTCCATACCTATACAGAAGAGTAATTTTTGCTGTAGGTAATAGCATTCTGAATGATTTTTATTTAAACATTCAGTGGAAGGGAAAATATTAGAAAAATATTCTCCTTTAATTCCTCTGTGATTGGTCTAACTCCTGGGTGGCCACAACACACATTTTGCATCCTATAACTGGTATGGTTACACAGCAGCAAAGAGATTATCACATGAGCTCATTGTATAATCTAAAGAAGGTGTCTGGAGAGTATTATAAAGCCTCACTTTTCTTCAGTAAAAGATAAAAGCAGTTTTAAGTGCTAGGCCTGCCAAGTCCTCTTGTGATTAAAGAACAAAAACGAAACCCCAAATTGACATTTTCCTATTGGTATGAGAGTGACAAACTGACTTACCATTTACAGAACAGTGAAAATGATAAAGTAAAGTGTTGTCAAATGCACAAGAGAAAAACAAAAAAGTTTTTTGCTAACTTTTCAGTTAGAAGTTTTCAGTTACTTGTAATAATTGTAAATAAAACATTAAATTACCTGCTCAAATTCACATAAATTAGTGGAAGAATCAGGAAAAGGAATCTGGTCTCAACTCCCATCTCAATCCATTAGCCCACAGCTGTCCCCCTTCTCTCTATATTGTACTTACCTCATTTGTAATGTCGTATACAACAATAGCTGCTTGTGCTCCTCTGTAGTACATTGGTGCTAAACTGTGGTATCGTTCTTGACCAGCTGTATCCCAAATTTCAAATTTTACTGTTGTGTCATCAAGACACACAGTCTGGGTTAGAAAAGCAGCTACAAAAGAAATAAAGAAGCTGAAATCAAAGGTCTATAGTTATGTTTTTACACATTCATATTCATTTATGTACACACAGCTATCCCATATCTGAGTTTCCTTCCCAGAGTGCCTCATCAGTTGGTAAAATACAATAGGTTGGAAGAGGATATTAGGAGCAGTCTTATACTGCTTCAACAGCACAAAATGAAATTACTTAAGACAACCTGCCTCCCCTTGTCGTAATTAAGGCATGAAAGGACAACTGGTATGGGAAGAAAATCCAGCAAGTTAACTTCAGCTTTATAATACTGAAATGAAGTTGTCACAAAACAATCAGCACTCAGTCTTCGAAAAGTGTTTCACTCTGATGCACTAGAAGGCATGACAGACCAACATTAATGATATATTCTATCACACTGTACATCATTAGTTCATCCCTATATATAGTTTTGTACTATTCTCTACATTCCAGCAAACTGCTGTAGCTCTGATTCTGAAAACAATGTATGATACAACTTGGCTCAGTCTTAGGCACCTGGGAACTAGAAACAAACAGAACAGTTCATAAATAAACAGCCCCTTGTAAAAAGTGCATTAGATACATTTTTCACTTCATAAATGACTGAACACCTCTGAACCACCATAGCATCACTTTTCATCATTTCCACTCTCAGGAGGAGCTGCATCAATTTCAACTGCAATTGAAGATACTGGTATACCAAAAAGCAGGTTTGTCACCATCATGACAGGCTGTAAAGCTGAACTGAATTGATTTAGCAGTCTTGTTGCAGGGGTCAGAATGGATGCAGAGCCAACTCAGGGTTTGTCCACAATACTATAAAAAAAAACCCACATCACTGAGTCTCAGAGCATAGGTCAACTGACTCTGGCTCATGGAACTGTAAGACTGCAGCATAGACATTTGGAGTCAGGCTAGAACCCAGGCTCTAAGACCCTCCCCCTTGCAGGGTCACAGAGCTCAGGCTAGCCAGAGCCCAAACACACACACTGCAATTTTATAGCCCTGCAGCCCAAGCTCAAGTCAGCTAATCCAGGCCAGTAGTGGTCATGCTGCAGGTCTTTTATTGTGGCGCTGATGTACTTAAAGCCATTATGAAAATGCAAGCTTCTTGCATCTTCTATAGCCACATGAATGAAATTTGCTGCCTCATAAGGCCAATGTTAATACAACTAAGTTAATTATCTCAAGATAATCATTCTTCTGAGAAGTCATGCTTCCTCCTAACTCACAGTAGACTTATTCCAGTAGACTGTGGAAAGCAAGCTCTACGGTTATTTTTGAATGTAGGACCAGTGGTGAGCTGGAACCAGTTAAATTTAGAAGCCCTTTTAGAACCGGTTGTCCCCTGAGGGACAACCGGTTCTAAAAGGGCTTTTAAATTTAACAACCAGCCAAAAGTGGTGCCTTAGGCGCCGACTCTGTGGGGGCTGGAGCACCCACAGGGAAAATTTGGTGGCAGCTTCCCACCCGGCCCCAGCTCCCCTCTGCTCTGCCTCCTCCTCCCCTGAACGCACCTCCCCGCTCTGCTTCTCCATCCCCCTGGCTTCCCGCGAATCAGCTGTTCACGCGGAAGCCTGGGAGGGCTGAGAAGCAGGCAGCAGCTTCGTGCTTAGGCCCAGGGAGGTGGATGCAAGCTGGGGCAGGGAGCGGTTCCCCTGTGCACCCCACGCCCCTCCAGGTTACCTGCTGCAGTGCGGTCGGCCCTCCTCAGCTCACCTCCGCTCCAGCTCCCTAGACCTGAGCTCGAAGCTGCCACTTGCTTCTCTCCCCTCCCCCCCGCCGCTTACAGCTGATTCGCAGGAGGGAGCAGAGCGGGGTGGCGCGTTCAGGGGAGGAGGTGGAGGCGGAGCAGAGGGGAGCTGGGGCCAGGCTGCCAGTGTGGGCTCTGCACCCACCAAATTCTCCCCATGGGGGCTCCAGCCCTGGAGCCCCCACAGAGTTGGTGCTTAAGGCACCACTTTTGATGTGATCAGTGGGAGAGTGGCTGCTCCCCCTGCTGCTACGCCACCCTGTTCCTTGGAGCCAGAGGGACCTGAAGGATGCTTCCTGGGAGCTGCCCCAGGTAAGCACTGCCGGGACTCCCCACCTCGCTCCCTGGCAGGTCCCTCTGGCTCTTACGGGAGGGGCGGGCACCCACTACGGTGGCCCACGAGACCCTCCTGCCTGGATCTGGGGGTAGTCAGGGGAAAGGGGAGGGGGATGGATGGGGCAGGGGTCCTGGGGGGATGGGGTGTCAAGGAACGCAGCAGGTTGGATGGGGCAGGAGTCCCAGGAGGCAGGGGTGGGCCACAACCCCCTCATAGGGTGAGGAGGAAACTGGTGATTAAGATTTTGGCAGCTCATCACTGTGTAGGATTTCTACACAACAGCACTGCATGGTCAACGTGCCTGCTCCATCTAACTGCATTTTCTTTTACGAGTGCCATTATTCAGCTTCACAGTGCACATAAGCTCCCCTTTGTTTAAAGGCCTTTCTGTACACAAAGAACAAAAAAAACTATAATTTAAACATATAAAGGCTACACAATAACAGGCTATTTTCTCCAAAGAAAAATGCGTTTTTGAATCCTGTAACTTGCACCCAGTAACATTCCCAGCTGGACTATGTACAGTATGCCTTTTTCTCTCTACTTAATACAGTAAAGAGGCATATGTTAAAATACACTCTTTAGTATAAGTGGATATTTACGGTAAGTATAGTTTATGTTTCAGTTTGCACTTCTGTAGCTTCTTGTTCATAATTTCAATGCTGTTTTCAAGTATTCTTTCACTCTTGTTAGGTGAGTAAACCTGAAACCAACCTGGGTAAATTTAAGAGTGCAACTATAAGATTCAGAGACCACTGAACTCTTCATGTGTAACAGAGTGGGGGGGAAGGGAGGTGGTGTGTGTTTGTGTACACGAACTAGGAATTTGCTGCTGTATAACTGTCCTTGGGACCTTTGTTACACTATCAAAAAGTAAACAGCTAAGATAATTGTTTAAAATACAAAGTCTTTCAAATCAGCAATTCTAGATGTACCTAATGCCAGACATACACGTCAATAAAAACATGCCAGACTTCTGGAACAAAAACCAGAAACCCACTTAGTCAGACTCTTAAAGAGATCAGAAGTAAGCAGTCTCAGACCCACAGAGCCTAAAATAACTAAATACAGAGCAATAAACTGATGTAGTAAGATTTAATTTGGAATTTTCTTACTTTTGTCAGCTCCATCAGTCTTTAATGTATGTGTGAAACCCAACTCATCTATAGAAGCATCAAAATGTAGATTAGAGTCACACTCTGGAGTAGCAGGGACAGGGTGTACCACAGATGTTACGGATCTGAGGGCACAGCTTACATCAGTTTATGTGCAAATCAGTGATTGTGGAGAATCACTTCAGTCTTGGAAGAAGTTGTTCAGATTTAGCCAAAGGAGGAGTACAGTTCAGAGAGCATAAGCTGCCGCTTCATTGTAGGTGGTGCAGAAAAAACTGTTTAATGGGGGAAAGTAAAATCCACTCAGACTATTATAAAATCCTTGTTTCCCCACCTAGTAATCAAGAGTCAGCTTTGATTGCAGTCAGGTGGGGGTGGGAAAGAAAGCACATACAATCCTAAAGAAAAGTGCACGTACAAATACAGCAAGTGACTTCCTTTATAAATCAAAGCCAGGCAGTTTGAGTGATCATAAGAAGTTTGCAAAAAGTTGTATGTTTTGCTGTACAGCAACCAAGGTTCTCCATCTTGTTAAGCAGCTTAACTGTATGCATTAAATATGTGAATTGTTAGAATAGCTATACATTGCCTTCTAGAATTACCAGACAACAACTCCAGTTTTAAAAACTGACTACCCAAACTTACATTGTGCCACTCTGTCCCCATCAAGCAGCACATATAGGTTTACAAGTCTGCTACAGCCTTGAAATAACAGCACTAATCTTTTAGCTCAGGCAGTAGAGCAGGGGTGGCCAACCTGTGGCTCTGGAGCCACACGCAGCTCTTCAGAATATGTGGCTCTTTGTATAAGCATCGACTCTGGGGCTGGAGCTACAGGCGCCAACTTTCCAATGTGCCGGGGAGTACTCACTGCTCAACCCCTGGCTCTGCCACAGGTCCCGACCCCACTCCACCCCTTCCCCTGAGCCTGGAGTGCCCTCGCTCCTCCCCCCAGAGCCTCCTGCACACCACGAAACAGCTGATCTGGAGGTGAGGGGAGGGATGGGGAGGCGCTGATCAGCAGCCGGTGGGCGGGAGGCACTGGGAGTGGGGTGGGGAGCTGATGGGGGACTGCTGACATAATTATGTGGCTCTTTGGAAATGTACATTGGTAAATTATGGCTCCTTTTCAGGCTCAGGTTGGCCACCCCTGCTCATGCTTTAAGATCCAGAGGTCCCGGATTTGATCACTACTGCAGATGGCCTACCACAGGGCATCATATTAAATTTATGAAGACAGTCATTGGCAAAGAGGATATATACTCAATACAAAGCAAGAGAAAATGTAACATTATTTCTCACCTCCAATGGTGCTCTCTTGAAACTCATGAAACTGGCCTTTTACAAAACGAAGCACCAAACTTGATTTGCCAACTGCAGACTCTCCCAGAAGTACTAGTTTGAACTGGCATATTTTATTCCCAGCATTTGGCCCATTGGGTCTTGTTGCTCCTCGATTAGCCATGTCCAATTTAGAAAGAAGTCCCTTGTTTCAAATTCTTGAGAGGAAAGAATTCAGGATGTGAACCGAGATGTTCCTACTGCTTGTAGCAACCTGTTTATCAAAAAAGTATATGCTATTAGAGTCACAACTGTAACATATTATGATAAAACTAGTTCTAGTAACAATCATCCAAGTTAAGGATCCAGGACTTTCTCAGAATAGTTATTTTTGTTGTTTTAGGTGAAATAAGCCAGTGAATTCTACAAGCACAGCTCTAAGATTTTTATTATATACTATTGTGAAAGTCTTTGCCATTGATATTAAAAGGGGCTAGAGATTTTGGATGTAACTTGAGTAACCTTAAAAGGCCAATTTTCAGCAAAGGGGTAGTCAGGGTTTTCTGAAATCAGGCCCCTTCCCCTGTAAAGTCTCAAACTGGATACCAAAAATACTAGTCACTTGACCTATTACCCTACATTTTCTGTGTTCCCTATGAGACTTCAATTCACATTGTGTATCTCAGGCTAATATTTAAGAGTCCAACAGATCCAGACCTGCATATTTCCATTCCATTTTTTGTCATGTTAAGAACATCTTAATAATCAGAAGTTCCTCTTTCATGATGTTGCTGATGCCAAGCAATTCTTGACTACTCAAGTCAGAATTAGTAAAAACAAACGGAAGGGCTTAATTAGAATGAAGAATTACTGGAAACTCAATTACACCAGCATTTCAAATTTAATCAAATTACAGTAGTTTTCTACAGTTTATCCCTATAATGCATGTGAACTGCAATTTCTTCAAATAGTAAAAGCATACATTCGAAAGTGAACGTGACCCCTGATTTGAACAGCTTCTCTGATTTAACATACATGCCTGAAGGAGCTGAGGGACTGATAATCTGATATGGAGCCTTTCAGCTTTAGGTCAATAGGAACCTCAAATCACCACCATTTGATGACTGTCTGGGGTCTTATGTAAAACGAATTGTTAGTCTCAATCCACGATGTAGCATACAGGTGTTCACATAACACAAACCACAACTGGAACCCTTTGTTAGTAGTATCTGCAGATAGGTCAAAGATCAAAGACTAGACTAGCCGCAATCAACTTGGAAGCTGTCTTTTCAGACAAAAATTAAAACACACTGGTTCAGCAGTGTGGGGTAGCTTGCACTGCCTCTGCTAGTGCTTCATCTGGTCTCCTGACGGAGCACTTAAGTCTCCAGAGATTTTTTTAATAACTAGTTTCACTTCAAAGGTTTTATTAAAAAAAAAAAAAAAAACCAAAAAACAAAGGGAAGTTTGATAACAGAAATCTGTTTTTCTAACTACTTTAGTAGTTTAGATTAAGCAGCATTTTTCCAGGAAAATGGTGCCTGCAAGAAGAGTGGTGCAACACTTAGTCTTGCCCTTCCCAATTCCATTCTAAAAGTGAATGTCAGAAGACCACAGGTGAGAGAGATGTCTACACCGGCCACTCGATTCTCTCATCAAGTAAAGGACACTACTCTTGTGTTTATTGTTAATACACAAAATTACAGCTTGCCATGTCTACCTAGGTTCTTTCCCTCCCGCGTTGTTTGTGAGTGGTATGTCTATACAGTCTGGCAGAGCAAGCATCCCAGCCCAAATCAACAAGACTCGGGCTTGTTAGTTAACCTGTTAAAACTATATTTATTTTTAGTGTAGATATAACCTTAGTGTATGCACGGCAAACATAAGAAAGAGCACTGAACTGTCTGACAATAAGGCTGCGCTTATCTAAAGCGGCAGTTCTCAAACTGTGGGTTGGGACCCCAAAGTGGGTTGCAACCCCATTTTAATGGTGTCACCAAGGCTGGCGTTAGACTTGCCGGGGCCCAGGGCTGAGGCCAATGCCTGACCCCTTCAGCCCGGAGTGGTAGGCCTCAGGCTTCAGCCGCCCTGCCCAGGGTTGTGTAGTAATTTTTGTTGTCAAAAGGGAGTCACGATGCAATGAAGTTTGAGAATCCCTGGTCTAAAGTAAAGCAAGTACATTTGAATCCAGCTACATTTTCAGTCATTACCAACCTGGTCCAGGTTCAAACCAATGACCAAGTTCTACATTCATTACCATTTCCGAGCCTTCCAGTTCACTACCCCTCCACTGCATGCTTAGCCTTCGCTTAGCTTTATAACTTCTGTTTTGTGGATATAAATTCACACAGCAGCTAAAAGCACCTAAAACAATAATCTCCCTTCCCCAGTCTGCTGGCCTTCTGAATTCTACACCACTAGTTTTACTCTCCCACCTATCTTACATTCATGAAACCACACAAGACTCCATAACAATGCGCCTTGACCAACACACCAATTGATAAACATTAGCATCCCTTCACCAGTGATTCCAGACCAGGGAGTGAGACTGAGCAGAATGAAAAGGAGTACTTGTGGCACCTTAGAGACTAAGCAATTTATTTGAGCATAAGCCTTCGTGAGCTACAGACCTATTTCCCCTTGTTTTTTCCTCCCCCCCACTGTTCTTCAGACGTTTTTAAACCCTGGATTTGTGCTGGAAATGGCCCACCTTGATTATCATACACATTGTAAGGAGAGTGATCACTTTAGATAAGCTGTTACCAGCAGGAGAGTGGGGTGGGAGGAGAGAAAACCTTTTGAAGTGATAAACACCCATTTTTTCATGGTCTGTGTGTATAAAAAATCCTCACTGCATTTTCCACTTTATGCATCCGAGGAAGTGAGCTGTAGCTCACGAAAGCTTATGCTCAAATAAATTGCTTAGTCTCTAAGGTGCCACAAGTACTCCTTTTCTTTTTGTGAATACAGACTAACACGGCTGCTACTCTGAAACTTGTGAGCAGAATGTAAATTCTGGTCCTTTACATGGTAGTACAGATCAATATCTGAATCCTTTTATAATGAAGTTGTCACTTCCTATAATGTTGCTCCCCTCCCAGAGGGCTGCACCTAACTAACATAGCACACCAAAGGTCCTGCTGCCAGAACATCCCAATCCTTCATAAACAGGCCCGCACCATAGTAAGTGTCATTCTGTCAATTCTCATAATTAAGGATGCATTTTAGACATGGGTATTTTTAGTAAAAAAAAAAAAAAAAAGTCATGAACAGGTCATAGGCAGTAAACAAAAATTCACAGCCCGTGACTGGTCCATGACTTTTATTATATACCCCTAACTAAAACTTGGGTGGGGGGCCACGGGTGCTGTGGGAGAATGGTCCAGGGATGCTGCGGGTACTGGGGGGGAGGGGAAGGGAGGTTGGCATGGCTCGCAGGCTCCCTACCACGTCTCTGCAGCTCCTAGGAGGAGGGGCATCCAGGGGGGTTCTGCATGCTGCTCCCACCACAAATGCCAGCGCTGCAGCTCCCATTGGCTGGGAACTGCAGCCAATGGGATGATCAGGGGCAGCGCCTGTGGGCAGTGCACAGAGCCCCCGACCCCTCTGCTTAGGAGCTGCAGGAACATGCTGGTGGAGGCCAGAGAGTGCCCCCCCGCCCAGGTAAACATCGCCCCACACCTAAACCCCCAGCCCCCTCCCACATACCCAAGCTGCTGCTACAGGCCCAGGGGCTTCTGTGACAGACAGGCAGCCTTACTGACGGTCATTCATGACAGAAACCCTTTTTGATTCAATTATGATACCATAACCCACCGAGAATTAAATATATTGTCTCTTGTGTTCTTACGAGGTATGTCTACAAAGCCAGCAGAAGCGAGCCTCCCACTGCAGGTCAATGGACTTGTTAGTGGGGTTTGTGATAGCACTCTAAAAAATAGTTGTGTAGACAGCACTTTGAAGTTGTGGATCAGGCTGGAGCATAGGCTCTGAAGCCTACGGAAGTGGGGTGGGCTTCAGAGCGCAAGCCACAACTTCAGTGTATTGTCTACACAACTATTTTTGGAGCATTAGCTTCACAAGCCCAAGTCCATTGATTCGGGCTGGGATGCTCACTCTGGCAGGCTGTATAGACATACTACTTACAAACAACTCCGGAGGGAAAGAACCTACCTACACTGAAACCCAATTTCTGCTAGTAGGCAAAAAAACAAAAAAAAAAAGCTATCACAGTAATATCAGAACCAACATAAACTACATACCAAAATTAAACACACATTCAGATTGAGAATGTTGCATCACATTATTAATTTGAGTGAATCCTCCTTAAAATGAACTGTTCTGTTAGCCTAAAATGCACTTTTGGTCTTACTTAGGATATAGAAATGGATCTTATAATTTAAAAGCAATTTAAGGATTTTTCTTCTTAAAGTCAATTTAAAAAAAATGGTAAATGAATTGTGTATCAGCTATAGATAGCTATTGCTTTGTTTCAACAGAATGAAGTAATGTATCTGGACAGACTGCAAAGCAACTCATAACAATGGATGACCTTAACTTATTTAATCACTCCCTAGTTATACTGCAAAAAGTGACACACGAGTTATCTATGAAACAAGTTAAATCACAGGGTGGGGTCAGCATACATATGATCTTTAGTTCTGATCTTAAGTTAAAAAATGTCAGATATCGGCTTCTTACTCCCGATTTAGAAAAGTTTCAATAATTGAGACAGTAAGTTTTTAAGACCTTTCTTTTGAATATATTACTCTAGTTTACATTGTAGTACAGTTCAGTAAGCATGTCAGGCAATTAGTCATGGAGTACAATTTTCTTTTTTTTTTTTTTTTTTTTAAACGTCTGAGAGACGTGGTAGCAATTCTGCTAGCTATTCTGCACTCTGTAGCATTATTTTAGGCTCAAGTAAAGGCCAAATCCTATACCATATTCATGAGGTTGCTCTCCATGACCAAGTCATTTGCTCAAAATCTCTGAAAGGAAGTCTGCAACTCAATGGAACTATTCCACATTCTTTATTTCATCACTCAGGACTTGCTCACTATCCCTCTGCTACATCCTCAGTAGCAGGAAAAGGATATGATCCGCGACTGTAGGTGTGGCAAGGCTTCAGATGTTATTCCACATGTAGTTACTTCACTCAAACTGGCCATTTACACACATAATTGCTCTTTACAGAGCTCCTGTCAGACTCCCAACAGTTTTTCACTACTAGCTGAAACAGGCTATGAAGACGGTACCCCAGATCAGAGTTGTGAAGAATGTCCACTCTATTAAAAAAATGTGGAACAGTTGGAAGTATTTTAAAATCAATAGGTTTCCATGGCCCTCATTCATGACAGATTACCCAATGTGCTCAGATACTATGGGTGGAAGGCACTTATATAAGAGCAAAATATTTTATCAGCTGGATGGATCACCAAATAGATGTCTTAGAAGGAAACTCAAAATGCTACTACAAATCATGAAGAACCCCAGCAACTCCAAAACAAGTCTGCAGAGAGCATGGAAGAAAATATCTGGCAACCTGAGGTGTTGCTGTAGTCTTGGAGGCTTGTCCTAATTATCTCTGTAACAGAGATGTTTTCTAAATATTGCAGATTGGGTTTCAGCTGTTACCTCTGGCATGTTTCTAGCATTTAGCAATTCTTTTCCAGAAGACAGAAAGAAAACTTCCCCACGCTGCCAGCTTATGCCAACACATTTAATAATGCCATTAAGAAAACTCACTATACCCATGCCACCCTCTTATTACCAGCCCATAGGGACTGTACGGCTTCTTTCAGCCTGAAAAGCCAGACATTTTAATCATATCTGGGTGTTTTTCAGGTTGCAGAGCATCACCACTCTCCCTAAGCATAGGTAGAAACCCTCATATTTTCTGAAGCACAAGGGTCAAGCCCTAAGTTTTTGTATTTCCTCATTTCTTCTAGTAGGTGGTTCAAATACTCAGTATTCCTTTCACAGACCCTCTTTCAAACTCAATTATGAATTATTAATATTTTTCAGATTGGTAAAAAAATCAAACTACTTGATATGCTCAATGAAAAATATTACCAAATCTCTTTAAAGAGCTATCTTTCCATATCAGCAGCTACCAGGGATTTTAAAAAATGGCCCCAAGATCTCTCCTGAGACTCAGGCCACATTTGTATACCACTTTCTTAATTCATGTGTACAATACTAGTTTTGGGAACCAGAGAAAGTGTGATAGAAGATGATAACCGGAAGAGGCAATAATCCTTGTTTATGTACACTAAGCACACAAAGAATAAATTCAAATATGTACAGGATGATTTTCCATTAATTCCAAACACTCATTTTAGCAGCTGTAGATATTCCTAATCCTGCAGTCTTGGTAATGATGTTCCAGGTTGGTTAACATGATGTACAGCTCCTAGGCACTACAGCAATACAAATAAATACACAGTTTAAACAAAAAAAAAAAAAACCCAACCCAACAACAAACAGCTATTTGTATTCTGAGTAAGCTTTTCATTTCACAGATGCATTGTAGGATAGCAAATAGGTGAAGTAAAGCTAGTTGGAGAATTGGAAATTCACAAATTTTGTTTCAACTTTACCATTAGAGACTTGATTTTTGAGGATGATCATAAAATGAGCTGTAAAATTTGGTCTGCATTTAAACTCAGTATAATGTTTTGACCTGAAATCAAGCTTTTAAATTAAAAAAAATAGACATTTTAAATAAATATACGGGCTATATAAGAACTGGATGAGTTACTTTAGAAAGTAAACATTTCCGAAACATTTTCTTTAGATCCCCCACTTCACCCCCAATACAGTTATCCACCTAGGAAAGGTTATGAAAAACGCTGTATTTTCTTCCTCCAATAGTTAAGAAAAAGGCAGTGGGAAAATACGGTGAAAGAGCCATCATGAATTATAGTAGGTACACATGATGCTTTAATAGGTCTTTTTCATCTCTAGTGTCCGATTTTTTTTTTCCCCAAGGACACACTAAGCCAGTGGTTCTCAAACTTTTGAATTAGTGACCCCTTTCACATAGCAAGCCTCTGAGTGCAACCCCCCCCTATAAATTAAAAACACTTTTTAATATATTTAACACCATTATAAATGCTGGAGGCAAAGCGGGGTTTGGGGTGGAGGCTGATAGCTTGCAACGTCCCCATATAATAACCTTGTGACCCCCTGAGGGTCCTGACCCCGAGTTTGAGTACCCCTGCACTAAGCCATAGCAGCTCCAGGCCAGTATGTCAGCAGAGGAGCAAAGATCAGATATATATTAGGAAAGTACGTCTGTAAATCCCATCAGGTAATTTGCCAACTCCTGGTTTTAGTTTGCCCTCTCATTCTCCTTAAATATCAAAACAGTCTATAAATGCACATGCTGCTTTATCTCCTATTATAAAATATTGAGTCAAGTTAGTCCATCACATGAATAAGGCTTTTCATAATTGTTTAAATAACCTGCGCTGTGACACCAATTACTATAACAATTTCACACTAAAAAAGTTTTCTAAAAGGTCTTAAAAGGATGTTACAGCCACTCTCTTGTATTAGAGATAATTCTGTTTAAATCAGTCTTGCCAACACTTACATTTATCCTTAATTTCATGTTTGCCAGGAGTCTAAGTTCTCCAGGACTACTCACCAGCATAGCTGAAATGTTGGCAAGATTTGGACCTACTATTCTAAAAAGTACCACCAATACAAAAGATCATGTATCAGAGTAACACTGACAATCTCACACACAAAATAGTAAGGAGAGTAAGAAAACTAACACTCCCACCGCTAGTATATTAGTGGGACACATTCATATAAATTAGGATAGATGTAGAATGGATTGGTAAAATTAAAAAAAGTTCTCATTTTACATATACAATAATTCTGATATTTCATATTACACATATTTTTAAATTACATAAGTTATACAGTTCTTTCAAATTAGTTATGGATTAATACTTATTAGCCAGATGTCACAAAGACCACCCCATTTTTGGTTAATTAGCATTTTGGATAAAGAAAGATGCTTCTAGACAAATTCTGGATTTGGGAACAAAATGCAGATAAACCATGATCATCTAAATTTCAGATTATCTGTATTAGCAAATTAGAGCTCAAGAGTGACTAATTAGAGCTCAAGAGTGACTAACTACCGCTCACAGAGTGCTCAAAACTTAACACAACAACATTATTTACAATACAACCAGTATAGATCCCTTGAGATAATGACCATCACCTGCTTTAATTCTCATTTACAAACCTATTATACATGGTTATGTTAATATTTAACAACCCACCATTCTAGGCATTGTTGTCAGCTTTATTTTCTTGTTGTTCCTATCCACCCTAAATAAAAATCTTAGCAACTTTAATAAAATTAGCATACTTTAATATAGAATTTCCTCACCACAGTATTTGTGTTAGTTTTCTAGATCATATATCAACCAATACATCAACCAATTTATATCGAAACATATTGAGAGAACATACCAAACAAGTAAATCACACAGGTAGTCTGTGAAATTTACATCCTTCCAATTAAAGATAATAAGCCTGGTGAGACTACATATGTATGATGTATGTGAGTTATTGACTGTTTTGATATCAATTTCCTGTGTGACTGATGCACCAATGTCAGTAAAGGGTCACCTATTACCAAAATCTCAAAACACTTAATTCAAGTTAACATTAACAAATTTGAGTTATCCAGAAAGGGGACTCATTACTCAAGAGGTTTAGAACATAAGCAGTTCAAACATTTGTTCATTTCCTCGAAGTCTCACATATCCCCACCCATAAAATCTGAAAGGGCCCCTAGTCATAAAATGTTTCTGAGCTGCTTCAAATGTCACTCGGGAGGTCATCGTTAATTTTAATCGAGTGATCGTTCAGTCTCTCCTCCACCCAGATTTTTAGAGGGAAGAGACAGCACAAGAGGACCATGGCAGAACCTGGCTATGTGTTTTAACATCTCTCCTAGGCCTACTCTTCTCGTACGGAAGTTTCATGTTAACTTTTTACCAGTCTGCCTCCCCTCCTGAAGACGGGCTATTTTACAGCATCAACCCAAGGTGCTGTGTGCACGCTGCTAAGTGTGTAACGACCCCCTCTTCGCCCTTTTCCCCCCGACCGAGATCGGGGACCAGCTGCAGGAAGAGGGGGGCTGTGCGCGCGGATGGTTTCCCTTCCCAGTTCCCACGCCTCTCCAGGGCACCCTCGCCGCCCCAGCAGCAGCTGTAGGGGAAGGGGACGCAGCACCCCCGCGGGCCGCGTCACACAGCAGGTTGTGGAGCAGCGGCTCCCCACGCCGGGGGAGCAAAGCGAGGGGACGGCGGGGACACGCGCCCGCCCCTTTCCATCCCCCCGCGGCTGCTCCTCAGCCACAGCCACAATATGGGGAAGTGGGAGACTCGGGGGCGCCATTTTGAGGCGGGGGAGACACAGACCAGCCGCTCCCCGGCCCCCGCCCCGGGGTTCGGCCCCCAGGCCCCGCGGCGCCAGGAGAAGAAGCCTTCAGGGTGAGGGTTCCCCTGGGCGGCTCTATAACCCCCCTTCCCCCCGCTGGCGGAGCCCGGCCACTGCCGCCCGCCGCTGCCTCCTCACCTGGCGGTGCCGGGCAGCCGTGCGCGCGGGCGGTGCGGGAGGCGCAGCGGCTTCTCTCGCTCCCGCGGCTGTGAGGGGAGGCGGCTCCTCCGCGGGGTGCAGGGGGTGAGGGGCGGGGGCGCTGCCGTATCTCACCCGGGCCGCCGCCAACTTCCGCCTCCTCCTGCCGGACCAAAACACACAGACGCACTTCCGCCGCCTCCGCCACGTCACGTCACGGCCCCCACCTTCCATTCAGTTCCGGGAGCGGCCCGGAGCTGTGTTGGTGGTAGCACCTCACGTGATTCGCCCTCCCGAGACCGTGACCGAGGCAATCCAGGGACAGCCGAGCAGCCCCAGTTGTGGAAGAAGCCACTTACAGCACAACGCTCAAAGGATGATGGGATACATAGCGGGGCGCGAGGAGCTTTCTGTCCAGTGGCCCTCTGCGGTGGGCGCTTCCGCCTCGATAACTGGCATGGCGGTCGCTGCTAAACAGTCACGTGACCTGCAGCCTCGCACTCTGGACTCATGAGGGCGAACCGCCCCGACTACGCCCAAGGCCTCTTAAAGGGCCAGAGCCGTGATTTTGACTGGGATGCTTTCCTGCTTGCTGAGGGGCTGAAATTACCCTGACCTGCGGTCGGCTGGTGATCTGCATTCTAGGGAGCAGCATCTGAGAGGCAGTATTGCCACCCTCAAGCACTCAAAAATCATGAATGAATACTCACTCCCCTTACCCCCGAAAATCATGAGATTAAAAAAAAAATCACAATATTTAAGCCAATGAACCAATACATTTTAGGTTGCTTTCATTCACCGCCCGGGTTTTAGTACCTGTGAGGGTCATGTTTTCAAGCTTTTCTCCAAAACCATGAGGACTAGAAATGGACCTTCAAAACAAAATGTGATGTAACAGTGGACATTCTCATATAATCCCCTGACTCCACAAGCTGGAGCTTTATGGAAATCTTCAAATGTCATAGGACTTGTGATCCAATCACCAAAGTTGGCAACACTAGTTTTGATTAAAAACCTGCTGCTGCAGACACAGCTAGGGTTGCTAACTTTCTAATGCACAAAACGAACACCCTAGCCCTGCCCCTTCCCTGAGGCCCTACCCCCCCCCCGCTCACTACATTACCCCACCCTCACTCACTTTCAGGGTGCAAGGGATTGAGGTGCCGGAGGCTCTAACTGGGGGTGCAGGCTCCGGGGTGGGACCAGAAATGAGGGATTCAGGGTACGGGAGGGGACTCCAGGCTGGGGCAGGGAGTTGAGGTGCAGGCGGGGGTGAGGGCTCCACCTGAGGGTGCAGACTCTGGGGTGGGACTGGGGATGAGAGCTTTGGGTGCAAGAGGTGGCTCCAGGCTGGGGGGTGGGGCCAAGGGATTCGGAATGTGGGAGGGGGCTGCAGGTTGAGGCAGGGGGTTGGAGTACGGGCTCTGGGCTGCGGATGCAGGCTCTGGGCTGGGGCCAGGGATGGGGGGTTTGGGGTTCATGAGGGGGCTCCAGGTTTGGGGGCGCTCAGGGCTGGGGTAGGGGGTTGAGGCTTGGGGTTTGAATGCGGGCTTACCTCGGGCACCTCCCAGTCAGAAGGGCTAAGGCAGGCTCCCTGCCTGTCCTGGCTCTGTGCTGCGCCCCGGAAGCGACCAGCAGGTCTGGCTCTTGGGTGCGGGGGCCAGGAGGCTCCACGTGCTGCTCTCGCCCGCAGGTCAGTTCCCGGCCAATGCGAGTGCAGAGCTGGTGCTCAGGGTGGGGGCAGCGCATGGAGCCCCATGCCCCCCTCCCCGCATAAGAGCCAGACCTGCTGGCTGCTTCCGGGGCGCAGCGTGGTGCCAGGACAGCTAGGGACTAGCCTGCCTTAGCCCCGTAGCACCACTGACTGGCCCGGTTGGCGGTGCTGATCGGAGCCACCAGGGTCCCTTTTTGACCGGGAGTTCCAATCGAAAACTGGACACTTGGCAACCCTAGACACAGCTCTGGTCTGTCTACTCTGAGGCTCTTTGTGGAATTTCTCATCACAGACTTCCAGTAATGTGGTGTGGGTGCCATATCCTTGCAGCGACATGGAGGCCATAGCTACTGCAACAGGGAAAGTAACATCGGAGGAGGATTAAATCGAAAGAAACCCACAGAGAAGATGATTTTTGAAGTCATGACACCCACAACTGCCCATATTCACATAAAGTAGGAGGTATGTTATTGAGCTCATCATTAATAAAAATAAATTCATAAAATAAATGTAGTTGATTGATGGTTTGTTTGTTTGTTTTGAAAAGAGGACATTTCTAGTGTGGAATGAGGGTGAATCCATCAGCAGTGAGGAAACTCAGGCATTTCAATTTCCCAGTTTTGGAAGGTATTGTAGAGAGGGATCAGGTTATTTTTCTATTTTAAAAAGCATCCATTATATGGTGTTTTTATCTAAGAGTCACAAAATCAATTAAAATCTGTTTCCAAGAAATAATCATGTTAAGCACAACACCTTATAATATGGCTGCTTATTTCAAAGTGATCATGGCTCAATTACATTTATGTACAAACAAAATAAAGTCCAAACTATTAACATATATACTAGGCATTTTAAAAGACAAAATTCACAAAGCTGAAAACAATTGTGAGCCAAATAAGGTGGTAGAAAGAATTTAAACAGAAAAATGTGAATGGTAATTGTGTAATGATTATGAACATTTTACTACATGACCAAAAACCCACAATCCAGAAACAATTCTATGCTAGTTAAAAACCAGCCTGTCTTACAAGGGAAGTGAAAGTAGCTATTTTATCTATAGTGAAAGTAGCTATTTCATAATATACACACACAAATGGGAAAAGGGAAGCTAGGAATTGTAGAACATTTATAAGGGAAGCAAAAGAACACAAGGAGGAATCTATGGCCAGGAGAGTTAAGGACAATAAGGAGGAGGGGTTTTTTTTTTTTTTTTTTTTAAAGTATATTAACAACAAAAGGAATTGTAATAATAGTATTGGTCCCTTTCTAAATGGAAATGGTAAAAATATCAATGACAATGCGAAGGGGTTCAATAAATATTTCTGTTCTGCATTTGGAAAAAAGCCAAAAGATGTATTCATGTCCTATGATGATGATGATGATGAAATACTTCCTCTTCCAACAGCAACTAAAGAGGCTGTTAAACAGCAGCTAATAAAGTTGCACATTTTTTAAGTCACCAGGTCTGGATAACTTGCATCCAAGAGTTCTAAAAAAGAGCTGTCTTAGAAGTTCTCTAGACTATTAATGTTGATTTTCAATAAGCATTAGAGCACTGGGAAAGTTCCAGGGGACTGGAAGACAGCTAATGTTGTGCTAATATTTCACAAGGGTAAACAGGAAGACATGGGCAACTGTGGGCCTGTCAGCCTGATGCTGATCTCAGCAAAATAATGGGACAGCTGATACTGGCCTTGATTATTAAAGAATTAAAGGAGAATAATATTAATGCTAATCAACCTGCAATTATGGAACTAGATCTTGTCAAACTAATTTGATTTTTTTAAATTACAAAGTGTGGTTGATAAAAGTTATAGAGTTGATGTAATATACTTAGATTTCTGTAAGCCATATAATTTTGATTGAGAAGCTAGAAGGATACAAAATCAACATGATGCACATTAAATAGATTAAAAACTGGCTAACCTGATAGGTCTCAAAATGTAACTATAAATAGAGAATAGAATGGGTGTTTTTCTAGTGGAGTCCCACAGGGATCAGTTCTTGGCCCTATACTATTTAATATTTTTATCAATGGTCTAGAAGAAAACATAAAAGTCATGACTGATAAAGGGTGTAGAAGATTGGGGGCGTCATAAATAATGAAGTCTTCGGAGTCAAGGTGGACATAGGCTCCAACTGCAACACTGTGGCCAAAAGGGCTAAGTGATCCTTGGATATATAAACAAGGGAATATTGAGTAGGAGTAGAAATGTTATATTACCTCTGTGTTTGGCACTTGCATAGGTGCTGGAACTAGGGGAGCTGGGGGTGCAGGAGCACCCCCGGTCTTGAAGTGGTTTCCATTATATACAGGGTTTACAGTTTTGTTCAATGGTTTTCGGCATCCCTGTTGACAGAAATAGGAGCCGAAATTAAAAGTGGCCCAGATCTTTCGGTCTTAGGTTCGTCTCCTACCCGTATCTATCACTGGGGGCTTGTAATCTTTACATAAAACTCAAACCAATAAAGGTACAACAGAATTTATTAAGGTGGGGGAGGGGATGGCAAGAACTCCCAGGATAAACAAGGTAAACAGATAATGATCAGGCAAATTACAAAATAAGGCAGGCTGTACCAATAAGGAAACTGAATACAACCAAGTGATGGTTACAGTATCATTTCTGGCAGCTTGATTCACTGATGTCTGCTCCTTAGGGTAGCACAGCACAGCAGGACTGCTGGATCCCTCAGATGGAACCAGGGAACCTGGGACAGGATCAGACGAGTGCTTCTTCAGATAAGTTACTAAAACCCTCCCACTCCCTATGCTGCGTTGTTATGTGTGTGGTGAGTGAATCCTATACAGGTGGATCAGGTGTGTGCAGGTAAGTATGACAAGTAACCCTCGTGGGGTGAATGGCCTACCCTCAATTACCGAGTTTGTCTCAACCAGACACTACCACTCAGATGGGCAGCCCTGATCTGATCTGAATACTGCCTTATATAGACTTTTGATCACTAGGCAGATTAGGTGATTGACAGCTACTGTCATTTCCCGCCAAAACAGAAAAAACACCAAACTACAGCTAGGAGGGGACAAGAAGGGCTTAAAAGATGGACGCTCAGTTGTCCTTTAGAGAAATTCAAGATGGCCTTATGATTTTATCTCTACACCCCCACCATAAAATTTTTTCCAGCACCCTGGGCACTGGTGCGACTGCTACTGGGATACTGTGTCCAGTTCTGGTATCCACAATTCAAGAAGGATGGTGAAAAATTGGAGAGGGTTCAGAGAAGAGCCATAAGAATGACTAAAGGGTTGAAAAACATATTTTATAGTAAAAGACGCAAGGAGTTCAATCTATTTAGCTTAATGTGAAGGTTAAGAGGTGACTGGATCAGTCTGTAAATCCTACAGGGGTAACAGAATAGAGGGCTTTTTAATCTAGTAGACAAAAGGTCTAACAAGTCCAATGGCTAAAGGCTGAAGCTAGAAAAATTCAGAACTAGAAATAAAGTGTAAATTTTTAATGGTGAGGATAAATAACCATTGGAACAACTTACCAAGGGTCTCCATCATTGATAATTTTTAAATCAATATTGGATTTTTTTTTGAAGATATGTTTTAGTTCAAACCATAGCTATTGGACATGAAGCAGGAATTAATTCAGGAAAGGCCTATGGACTTTGTTATGCAGGAGGTAAGACTACAAACGATCACAGTAGTCCCTTCTCCCCTTAAAATGTATTAATTTAATTTATGATTTTGTTGTTAATGAGCCTTTCTGCTGGAGGGTTGGGGCAAACTGATCACAAACCTCCAGGAACATCTGCTTCTTCATGCTAAAGTTCTGGATCCACTGCTGGCCATCCCAAGTCCGCATGATGATGTGATCCCACCAGTCTGTTCCTGTGGCCCTGCCCCAGAAGAACCAGTCTACATAGTGGGAATCTGTGGCTAAGGCAGAAATAGGCATGAGCCGCATCAACAAGTTTGGAGCTGGCATGTCAGTATCCCCCTTAGAGAGGTGCCTTTGGCAGTTCAAAAACTGACACCAGAAACATTCACCAGCATCTTGCAGATGCTCTGTCTGTGTACTGAAATAGAACGGAGAGCAGGAGATAGAGACATTCTACCAGGTCAGGCTCCATGTTGGCTCTGGCTGCAGGGAGTATGCAGACACAAAATGGTTCTGCTGGAGGTGTTCATGATTTAAAACTACACAGAACATTACTGGTCAACTCCCATGGGACAGGCAGACAAGTGCTCCCACAACCCACTATGGACAAAGGGTTAGGAACTACAGTACCCGCCCACTCTAGTGGGAGTTCTGACTGTGGTCTGCAGAAGGGGGCCTCCAGATCAGCTGAGGTAGAAGCCATGCTCAACAGGCAATTTTTGCCTCTGCTCCTTCTTCCTACCCTTCCTCCTAACAGTATGGCCCTATTTTCAATAAAACCTCCTGGAACTGTGGGTCTTTCCCATCAAGCCAGTGCCATTCCAGTAAACAAAGACATCTAGTCACTCTATATAAAAATAATTTTGGACAGAAAAAAAGGTCAACGTTACATTTTGCGGCTTAAAAATAACTATGGGTTCAGTTCAAATTGTAGGGGAAATGTTCTGGTCAATTTCCTATTTCATTCAAACCAATTTTCTAGGTTCACACCTGCCAAGGAAAGAGAAGGTAGAAGAAAGAGAGGGGAAAGAGAGGAAAATAGTTAAACAAACAAAACTGTTTTCAGAGAAAGAACAACTAGCCCAGAGCTGGTCATCATAACTTGTAATTTATAGTTTTGGTAGGTGCTCAGTTACTCTAGTAATCTATGCATATAAATGCTTAAATACATTCAAGAGATCTCTTCCTTCAGAAAAGTCTTTTAGATTACCAAATAGATTTCAAATCAGAGGCTTAATAAGATTTTTTTAGGTGACGGAATTATGCTCATGTAATATAATTATACTAACGTAATAAAAGAGGTATAAAAAGTGAAGAAATGGGTGAAGAACCTATTTCCCAAAATATGAGACTAGAGAACTTGACCCTCCAAAGTGTTTTCTCCCCACGAGGGGTGTGAAAGCATTTCTCAATGAAAACAGAAAGCTCCTCAAAAGTGATTGCAATTTCAAAAAGATAAGAATTAATCACTTATATCACAATGTCTTTCCTTACTAGTTGACTTAGAACTGAGAAAAGGTACCAGACTGAAAACATATTTTTGCATAAACACAGAAACTAGGTACAACATGGACAGAGGTAGCACAAGCTTCAAACTATCCAATCAATATGGATTTATTTGAATCACCTCAATGGAGAAAGGAGTAGTTTATTCTCCATGAAAATTCTTTATGTGGTTTCTTGAGCAGTGGAACATGTTCTGCTTTATGTGCAATTAGGCTCAGGTTCAAACCCCATTAGGTGGCCTTGTTGTTGAACATGCTAGCAAGAATACCAGTTGTGATGGTGGTTCTTTTCTTGTAGTCTGAACATTTATCCACTATGAAATGGTCTGAGATCACCAGTTTATTTCATATAGGTCAATGCTCTGCTATCAGATGATAATACTTCTGAACACCACCAACCTGGGCCAGATCCGATAACTAAATTCAGTGGGTGAAATCCTGACCTAATTCAAGTTAGTGCAAAACTCCCATTGATTTTGGCGTGGTCAGGATTTCACCCAGTGCACGTTTCTCTTTATTTAAAAATTTCCTCCAAGAGTTTAAAGTTTGCTTTGCCAATTTTTTTCCCTTAGGGTCTGATCCAACCCCCCACTGTAGTTAATGCGTAGACTTTCATTGACTTCCATGAAGGTTGGATTGGGCCCTTTGCCATTTTCGTTATCCTGTACAGTTTTTCTGTCTTTATTTCATTTTCCCATTTCTTTCATTTGTTTCCTTTTTTCTTCACTTTTCTGTCTTTCCTCTCTCCATTTTTTGTCTCTTCTCTGTAAACCCTTTGCTGAAGGCAATGAGTTCAGCTACTTCCTAGCATAGTTTTTGTTTTGCTTAGGAAGCAACATTTCTATATTTTCATAAAGATACTTAATAAATAATAATAATAATAATAATAAACCCCTAAGCCATTGTGTAAGAACACAACATTGTCCCCCAAGAGTATCACGTTCTATACAAATTACTAATTTACCCACTATAGCTCCCAAGCGGCTACTATTTTAAAATAAAACCCTCTGCACATTTTTAAAGCTTCCTGAAGGTTACTCAGCAAGTGCTTGAATCCCATCTACCCCAGCACCACAGTCAGAGTGAGAGCTGAGCTGCAAAACCCAGCAGTCATGCTGGATCAGGGAAGTGAAAGGCAGGATTTTAGGTAGTTTCACTTCCTTGATTTTAGCCCTTGTAAGAGAGAGACAGGCGTCAAACTGTGGGGTTGGGGATTTAATGAGTAGTGGTAACATCAAATGCCAAACACTTGCTAAGGGCAGTTTTAGCTACAAAGACCCCACTGTAACAAAGAACGTCCATTTCCCTCCTGAAATGAAATATGTAGGGTCAGGGTGACCAGATATCCCAATTTATAGGAACAGTCCCAATATTCGGGGCTTTGTCTTATATAGTCTCCTATTATCCTCCACTCCCTGTCCTGATTTTTCACACTGGCTATCTGGTCACCCTATGTAGGGTCCAATTTTCTACTGCAGGAGACAAACTCCCACTGAAGTTAATTTGAGTCAACAAATACTTGGCATTAACTCTAGAATGTCATTTTAAGTTTTGTTGATGTTGCCACCAAATCCATAGTTTGTTGAAGTTACTCAGGGCATTGGGTTGTTTCCCTGTTCCCTTTACATGAGATGTAACAGAAGTGTTATCAGGGAGAGAAAGAAACTAGATCCCTTGACAGTTATTATGCCTTATAATTATAATAAAAGTCACAAGGTTTGGGGGACTAATTAAAAAGAAAGGTTTATTAGTATTTCTAGCATCATGGGCAAAAGAAAAAGGAAGAGTAAAATATATATACACTTAAACAGAAAAACTATTATGACATCTTTTCTGTAAATAAATGCTTCTTCATCCTTATTGAAACCATTCTATACCAAGAAAAGTTATTAGACTAATAGTTTATCAGACCACATTAGAGCCCTCCTCTTCTTATGTGTTTGCACAGATGATCTGGAAATGCCATCAGTCACCCCTATTTTCCAGGGTGGTATCAGAGAGAAATGGTGCAACCTAACGCTCCAGTCCAAGTCCTTCAAACCTGTGCCTGTCTTTCCAGGACTCCACTCTCCCTCAGCCTCCTAACACAGAAACAGAAAACATTGATCCTCCAAATGAAGGACATAATGTGAGTTTTCATTTTGTGGAATTATTCCCTCACTTATGTCACAGAGTTTAAGGCACCAGATCATTTAGTCTAACCTCCTGTATATCACAAGTCACCAACACCACCCAGCACAAAACCCAAAGTCTCTCTCCATCTTCCCAATCAACTTACATTTCCCCAGGTTGAAGGGGGGGAGAGCGGCCAGGGTGCTATAGGGGATGCTAGGAGAGGGTTGATGGGGCTCAGGGTGCTATAGGGGATTCTGGGAGAGGGTTGATGGGGCTTAGGGTGCTACACGGGATGTGGGCAGACGGTTAATGTGGTCAGGGCACTGCGGGGGATGCGGGCATTGACAGATGGGGGTCAGGGTGCTGCGGCGGATGCGGGCATTGACAGATGGGGGTCAGGGTGCTGCGGCGGATGTGGGCAGAGGGCGGATGGGGTCAGGATGCCACAGGCAATGGGGACAGAGGGTAGATGGGGTCAGGATGCTGTGGGGGATGTGGGCTGAGAGGTCGGGGCACTGCAGGAGATGTGGGCAGAGGGCAGATGGAGTCAGGGAGCTGCGGGGGATGTGGGCAGAGGGCGGAGGGATCGGGGCGCTGTGGGGGATGGGGCAGAGGGCGAAGGGGTTTGGGCGCCGCGGGGGATGCGGGTAGAGGGCAGGAGGGGTCAGGGCGCTGGGCGGATGCCGAAGGCGGGGGCGGTGCCGAATGGGGAAGTGCCTGCGGGGGGTGGGGGACGGGGGACAGGGGTGGTGCCGAAGGGGGCCGTGCTCGAGGGGGGCGGGGAAAGTGCTAAGGGGGCGGTGCCGCAGGGGGGCCGTGCTCGTGGGGGGGAGGAGGCAGTGCCGAAGTGGGCGGTGGGCCCGGTCCGCTCGCAGGGGGCTGGTGCCGCCCGCTGCCTGCAGGGGGCGGTGTTGGGCCGAGCGCGTTACCAGGTAACCGGAGAAAACATCCCGCCGGGGCCGCCGCCGCCGCCGCCGCTCAGCCTGCTCCGCCCGGCGCCGCCATGGTCGGGGAGCTGCGGCCCGTGTACCGGGGGCGGTTCTTTGACAGGTTTCCCGAGCTGCCAACAGTGAGTCCCTCTGGGGCCCTCTCCCTGTGTCTGTCTGTGTCTTCGTGTCCCGCTTTCTCTGTCCGTGTGTCCCTCTGTGTCCGTCTGTCTGCGTCCATGTGTCGGCCCGTGTGTGTCCCCCGAGTCCGTGTGTCCCTGTGTCCGTCTGTGTCTTTCTGTCTCTCTGCCTTTCTCCATGTGTCCGTCTGTGTCCGTGTGTCCCTCTGCCACTGGGCGCTCTGTGTGTGTCCGTCCTTCTGTCCCTGTCTGTCAGAGTAACAGCCGTGTTAGTCTGTATTTGCAAAAAGAAAAGGAGGACTTGTGGGCACCTTAGAGACTAACCAATTTATTTGAGCATAAGCTTTCATGAGCTACAGCTCACTTCATCGGATGCATTCAGTGGAAAATACAGTGGGGAGATATATATAGAGAGAGAACATGAAACAATGGGTGTTACAAAACACTCTGTAACAAAAGAGTGATCACTTAAGGTGAGCTATTACCAGCCGGGGGGGGAGGGCATTTTGTAGTGATAATCAAGGTGGGCCATTTCCAGCAGTTGACAAGAACATCTGAGGAGGGGGGGGAGAAATAAACATGGGGAAATAGTTTTACTTTGTGTGATGACCCATCCACTCCCAGTCTTTATTCAAGCCTAAGTTAATTGTATCCAGTTTGCAAATTAATTCCAATTCAGCAGTCTCTCCTTGGAGTCTGTTTTTGAAGTTTTTTTGTTGAAGAATTGCCACTTTTAGGTATGTAATCGAGTGACCAAAGAGATTGAAGTGTTCTCCACCTGGTTTTTGAATGTTATAATTCTTGACGTCTGATTTATGTCCATTTATTCTTTTACGTAGAGACTGTCCAGTTTGCCCAATGTACATGGCAGAGGGGCATTGCTGGCACATGATGGCATATATCACATTGGTAGATGTGCAGGTGAACGAGCCTCTGATAGTGTGGCTGATGTTATTAGGCCCTGTGATGGTGTCCCCTGAATAGATATGTGGGCACAATTGGCAACGGGCTTTGTTGCAAGGATAAGTTCCTGGGTTAGTGGTTCTGTTGTGTGGTATGTGGTTGCTGGTGAGTATTTGCTTCAGGTTGGGGGGCTGTCTGTAAGCAAGGACTGGCCTGTCTCCCAAGATCTGTGAGAGTAATGGGTCCTCCTTCAGGATAAGTTGTAGATCCTTGATGGTGCGTTGGAGAGGTTTTAGTTGGAGGCTGAAGGTGATGGCTAGTGGTGTTCTGTTATTTTCTTTGTTGGGCCTGTCCTGTACTAGGTGACTTCTGGGTACTCGTCTGGCTCTGTCAATCTGTTTCTTCACTTCAGCAGGTGGGTACTGTAGCTGTAAGAATGCTTGATAGAGATCTTGTAGGTGTTTGTCTCTGTCTGAGGGGTTGGAGCAAATGTGGTTGTATCATAGAGCTTGGCTGTAGACAATGGATCGTGTGGTGTGGTCTGGATGAAAGCCGGAGGCATGTAGGTAGGAATAGCGGTCAGTCGGTTTCTGGTATAGGGTGGTGTTTATGTGACCATCGCTTATTAGCACCATAGTGTCCAGGAAGTGGATCTCTTGTGTGGACTGGTCCAGGCTGAGGTTGATGGTGGGATGGAAATTGTTGAAATCATGGTGGAATTCCTCAAGGGCTTCTTTTCCATGGTCCAGATGATGAAGATGTCATCAATATAGCGCAAGTAGAGTAGGGGCATTAGGGGACGAGAGCTGAGGAAGCATTGTTCCAAGTCAGCCATAAAAATGTTGGCATACTGTGGAGCCATGCGGGTATCCATAGCAGTGCTGCTGATTTGAAGGTATACATTGTCCCCAAATGTGAAATAGTTATGGGTGAGGACAAAGTCAAAAAGTTCAGCCAGCAGCTTTGCCGTGACATTGTCGGGGATACTGTTCCTGAAGGCTTGTAGTCCATCTTTGTGTGGAATGTTGGTGTAGAGGGCTTCTACATCCATAGTGGCCAGGATGGTGTTTTCAGGAAGATCACCGATGGATTGTAGTTTCCTCAGGAAGTCAGTGGTGTCTCGAAGATAGCTGGGAGTGCTGGTAGCGTAGGGCCTCAGGAGGGAGTCTATCTACATAGCCAGACAATCCTGCTGTCAGGATGCCAATGCCTGAGATGATGGAGCGTCCAGGATTTCCAGGTTTATGGATCTTGGGTAGCAGATAGAATACCTCTGGTCGGGGTTCCAGGGATGTGTCTGTGTGGATTTGTTCTTGTGCTTTTTCAGGGAGTTTCTTGAGCAAATGGTGTAGTTTCTTTTGGTAACCCTCAATGGGATCAGAAGGTAATAGCTTGTAGAAAGTGGTGTTGGAGAGCTGCCTAGCAGCCTCTTGTTCATATTCCAACCTATTCTGTGTCTCCTTGTCCACCCCCTTCTTCCAGTAGTTAATCTATAACCTTCCGCCTATTCTCCAGCACCCCGGGGTTTCTCAGGGTGACCCGGCGGGTGCTGCTCACTGCTGTCCCTCGAGCCAGAGCTCGGCTCAAATTTTGGGGACTCTGGGGTCTGTGAGGGGGACTCTTGGCGAGTGATAGTTCCTGGGGCAGAGAGGCTGGGTTTGTATATTCATTTTATTTCTGTTCCCCCCCCCCTTTATTAAAATAAGGTTTTGTCATAATGTCGCTAAGGCAGGACCAGGCAAAATTCCCTGCAAGGTTTAAAATGCTGATCCTGCTGGCCAGCTCCTACTGCTGATATGTGCTGTGGTCTCTGCATTATTTTTTGTTTTCATTATTTAGGCAGGAAAACTGATCCCAATTGGAGATACAGCTGCCAGTTGTCTGACTGAAGTTTTTCCAAGGGTGAGTGTACTAGTGTGTGTTGGGACAGTACATCACATCTCCTAGCAGAGACATTGAGACATAAATATAATAAACAAATTAAGTCTCTGCCCACAGTTTAGCCTGATTCTCCTCTCAGACTGTCTACACTAAGGGTTTTATGTAACAATTTCCCACTCTTGCTAAAACTGGCTCAGCTGGTCTGGCGTTAGCAATATTGGCAGTCCTAGCACAGAGAAGGTTCTGCAGCCCCTGTTAATTTTAACACGGGTATTATGTAGCCCAGCTCAGAGCTACAAATAAACGATAGGAATAGTGACAGCCATAGTAGCTGCCTCCATTGGTAGAACTGAACTGCTAGTAACAACAGGGGAAATAATTTCAAGTGTGAATAGGCCTCACTTATACCTGTTTTAAACCAGTGTAAATCAACTGATGTTACTTCTGATATATAGCAGCGTAACCAAGAGGAGAATCAGGCCTAAGAGATTTTTGTCCATCTCTTCTTTTCTTGAAATGCAAGAACTTAAATGATTTTCCATGTAGTTCAATAAATTGTGTCCCGAGACCAGCTGATGCCCTCACAAAACACTGTGCACATTTCTACTCTATAAAATCTGCCATGTTTAAACACCTTTTCCATCCATGGTATAATGTGATTTGGTCTTGCCTGTATGGACTAGGACCAAACTGTGTTATAAACAGGTTAGGGTACTGTGCTTTATTGCTTACAGAGATAATATTACTCCTCTTGATGGAGATCATTCTTCCCTTTGAAAAAACTGTGCTTTTGGTTGATGATCCTGCAGGTGAAGAGGATGGTGGTGGGATGTACAGGAAAATACCATGGAACAGATTAGCTGACATACTCTTCTGATGACAAGCATGTCTCTAATGGGAGGAACAAGGAAAAAGCTAATAAGTCACTGTTTCCTGTAAAATTGTTTTTCCGTTGTCTTACAGCCTATTACACCACCTGTTGTGAGAAAGTTTCTCAATTCTACAAGTCCAGCTCCTGGTGCTGAAAGAATATTCTATGGCAGAGCAAACGATCCTGATATTGCAGTTCATTTGACACATGGCATTAGCTCCCAGTCTTCACTGAGTGTAAGAATCTGAATTTTTTGTGTGTTTAAAAATAGTCCCAAATAGTGTGTATTGATCTGTAACTTGGTTCTGCCCAGCCATAACTGAGTGTATATAGCTGGTGTATGAGAGGGTACACATTCCTAATGACAAATGCTCTAAACATCCTCTCAGCTGCTAACATGTATCTATGACCAACACCTCAATCCCCATATAAAGAATAGAGACAAGTCTCTCACTCAGTGGCACAATCTACCCACCCATACCTTTCAGTTGTTCAACCCTCTTGCTCCCTCCAAACCCCCCTACAATTAATATTATTATCTATGTATTTATTATTGGCTTAGCCTTAAGGGGATGCTAAGTGTGCTATGCTGTGACTTTTCAGTATTACAGTGGGTTGTCTGAATTCTGAAGTTAATCAAAGGAATTTTAATTGTGAAATAAATAGAAAGACATTTAAAAACCAGAAATTTTTATTTAATTACATTTTACAGTAGCAAGCTTCATTATTCATTCCAATTTCTAGTTCTTTAACACACTCTCCCCCCGCACGACATTTTTACTACTTTCTCCCTGACTGGTTTCAGAGATAAAATATTGATCATGTTAATGAACTGACTTAATACCTCAGAACAGCACTCACTGTTCAGGAGCACTGTCAAATTAGCTAATTTTCTTTTCTTGGTTTTGGTCTTTGCTAACTAAAAGTGATACTTTTGATATCCTATTGTACTCAAGGTGTACACATAATTTCAGAAATAATAT